CTGGAGCTGTAGAGGCAGCTTATGCACAGGCATTTGGGAAGCAAATTTCTTTCTCTGAGCAGCAACTTGTGGACTGTGCCTCAGATTTTAATAATTTTGGCTGCGGCGGTGGGTTGCCGTCCCAAGCCTTTGAGTACATCAAATACAGTGGTGGACTTGCCACCGAGGAAGTATATCCTTACACTGCAAAGGATGGGATATGCAAATTCTCATCTCAAAACGTCGTCGTCCAAGTCCATGACGTTGTCAACATAACCCAGGTGTTTTATTTTGGAACTAGTTGCTTGCTGCTCATTCATGAGCTGATCTAATGTGATGAATTTCACTTAATTTGTCTGAACTCGATCATTTTCAAAGCAGTCTTGATTTTCAAATGAACACGATGCTGAAGACGTTAACGTGAGACATTCCAACATGAGCTATGTATTCATGAATGTTTGCTAAACATATATTACTTGCAGGATGCTGAAGACGAACTAAAGCATGCAGTAGCAATGGTTCGGCCAGTAAGTGTGGCATTCCAGGTGGTAAGTGGTTTCCAATTATACAAGAATGGAGTGTACACCAGCGACACTTGTGGCCACACTCCCATGGTAAGTTTTTCTATTTTAAGGATTGTGGAATGATAGAGAGACCACTTCTAAACGACAATTACAATAAAGAATGTCCAAAATCTTCCTGGGTGCTTCAACTTTCTCTTCATCTGCTAGTAACACCTCGACATGGCCTACTTGTGGTAGAGTTTCTTATTTCTGGAACTTGAAACAACATCGAGAGCCTAATATCATTACTCTATCTAAGAAATGCATACAAAACTATAACCTAGCACCGAATCCTAAGTCTATGTTGTATTTGATCAAATTCAGACCTCACTGTCATCAAACTTTGAAATTCTAGTAGGTCTCTGTCATTGTTGAGTAAACATATCAATCTTTTTTATCTTTTTTTTCTTTTTATTAATATGCAATTGAATTTATTTACCTGTATTTACATACTTTGGGGAGTACTCACAATTATTTATTTTGTAATATCTTAGCCAGTATTTGTATGTGCACACAGCCACATACATACTCTCTCTCTCTCTCTCTCTCACATACACACACACGCACACATTTGGTTGGATGTGAATTGTGCACCCACCCTTATGTTGCAAGAACGTATCCTTAACATTCCTGTAATATTGGCAGGATGTGAACCATGCTGTTCTTGCAGTTGGGTATGGTGTTGAAAATGGTGTCCCATATTGGATCATTAAGAACTCTTGGGGAGCTGCCTGGGGTGACAATGGCTACTTCAAAATGAAGCTGGGGAAGAACATGTGTGGTAAGTATCTGTGCAAATTTTAGCTTGTCTATTAACAAAAATGCACTATGTTTTAGCAAATCAAAGAATTGGTTGGACATATATATGGTATGATGTAGCCATTTTTGACATACATACATATATATATATATAGCGACGTACACCTTTGTCCAATGACAACAGAAGTCATGTAGAGATGCATCAACATTTATTGTATGGAGTAAAATAATTGGCATGCTTAAAGATCATAAGATATCAAATGAAGTTCAAACTTTTTATCCAGTTGAGATCCTCATTCATATGCTTCAAATTCATGTTTTTGTATGTGTTTGCAGGTGTCTCAACTTGTGCATCATATCCTATAGTTGCCTAAGTGTTCATGAAGAGATGATAGACTCTTTCTGTGTTGGACTGTCAACTGTCGAGTAAAAATTGTTTTGTATTACTCTGGATGTAAATATTCTCCTTTAGTTAAGTGTCATGCTGTGTCGAAGATGTTTCTGCAGCCTTGATGTGTACTAAATAAGACTCCAAAGAAGTGTTTCGATATATGGTTGTTGGTCATGGAGTCATGTAAATTTCCTTCTTTATCAATGGGTAAAGGGGAACTCTTCCCATTGTGTAAGTGGAAGCTATGCCATATGTATAATATAATAGGCTCAATCTTCATTTTGTTTCATCTACGAATTCAAAAGCTGCAGTTTTCGTACGTCTTCCATACTAAACCACTTTTGTTGTGGTTTTCTTTCTCATGCGACAATGCAATACAGTGACCATCCCACATATTCGTTTGAAAATTGTTTTAACGCCTTCATGAGTTAACTAAACTCATGGATACATTAGCTAAGATTTATTCTTAGAAATATATGTTACGAAATTAATGTTCTTTAACCATCCATAAACCACAAGTTGGTAGTGGTGGTAGGATGGCAGTGGTGGTTGTGATACACTTTAGGTAGTGGGGCAATTTAACCCCTTGCAATTCTCAAAAAATTTTGGGTTCATTTGCAAATTTTAAATAAAATTTGCCCTCACTAAAAAAATTATAAAATTTTATGAGTACTTTTATACTTGAATAATATATTTGATACCTAAAAATTTAACTTTATTTCCTAACCTAATTATGTTTCAAAGTGATATAGCCCAATAAGAAATTCATGAGTTACAACGATCGAGTTGTAATTAGAATAATATTATTAGATCATATAATAATCGTGGTCATTAAATTAACTAAATTTTACAGGTTCAAATGGCTTTACTCATTCTCTTTTAGTGAATCAGTTTATTTTTTTTGACTTTAAAAACCATATATAAACTTTTTTCATACTTAACATCAACATGTTCATTCTTCTTTTTCTTTTTTGGTAAAGTAGATATCAATTTGGACTGTTAATTAAACTGAGCAACTTAAGCTCAACTCGAATTCGATTCGTTTAACCTCAACTTGTTTTTTAAATAAGTCGAACTAAAATAATTTTTTAGGTTCGTTTAGAAAATGAGCCCGACTGACTCGATTTATTTATGTGTAAATACTCGAACTTGACTGACTCGATTCATTTATGTCTAAATACTCGGACTTGGATCGTTTTAAACTCGACTCGAGGTGGACTCGGTTCCAATTTGTTTGACTATAAGCTCTATGTCCATATTCATTCCTGCCTTTTGGCTCCACAGACATGAAATCTTGTGCAATACAAAAAACACTAATGTTATTTGGATAAAATTTAAGAATTTAATGCATTGTAACCATTGAATTAAGAGCAAAATGCATTTAATATTGGGGCTTACTAACAATCCAAGGGTCACAATTATTAAATCTTCAAATTAAGGGAAAGTCTACAATATCAAAAAAAATTAAATAAATTCTAATTATTACTTTTTTATGGTAAAATTATAACATTGCAAGTAGAAATTACAACTACTCAGGAAAATACCATGATCGATCATAGACACTTATAACTGAGCATGAATTTTCAATATTGACCTCAACCTTTTCTAATTAATCATATCTTTTAAAATTATAACTTGCACCTTAAAAAAAATTATTATTTAATCTTAAAAAATTATAATTTTTAGTACCATATAAGATACCCTAACCTTTCCCTCAAATTAATGTCTCCACTTAAAAAAAAAAATCTCTATAAACGACCCAATTATAGCATTTATGTGCACACACGTAAATAGGATCCAGATCCTTGAAATATGGTGATAAAAATTAGGGTAAATTACATTCACACCATTGACATTTAATTTTATTATACAGATATCTCTCACATTTCAAAAATAACACCGAACTCCCTTGACATTTAAAACTTGTAACAGTCACACCCGCTCTAACTAATAAACGTTAAACTTGTTAACGGTCAAAGCTGAAGTCATCAATCATAATTCTCAAAAATATCAAAAATACCCTCCAAATTTATCCAACCTCTCATTTATTTTTTTAATCTATATATGAAATATATAGATAAAATTTAACACTTATATGTTTAATTTCTAAATACATTACATTAATAAATAAAATATTAAATTTTTTTTGTTTATTAAATAATATGTGGTACTATTAATGCAATTTAAAAAGTAATCATTTTTTTAAACCTTAATAATTACCTAATTCAATTATCCCATATTAAATTTATTTTTTTATTATTTATCTAATTACATAAATTTTTACTCTTGCCACCATCACCACTGCTTAAACCTAACTATTGCAATAGTGCATCTGCCAACCAACACATCCAAACACCACCAACACACACACACACACAGAGAGAGAGAGAGAGAGAGAAACCACAACTTCATGAAAAACCATATCTGCCTCCACCACTGAAACCATCACCTAGCCAAATCTCATCATCAACCATCTTTGTACATGACCTTTCTCTTCCACAATATCGCCACTATTTCATCGCCGTCAACTCAATAACACATATCAACAATCACCAACATCACTGCCACCACAAAAATACCTTAGAATTGCAACATAAAAAGAGAGAGTTAGGGTTTTAAAATTACCCACCATTGCCTCAAATCTGAGAGATGAAGAGAGGGGACTTAAGGTTTCAAAAACCATTGTTGTCCTTTCGATATCTCAGATTTTTTAAGCTTTCAACCCTTTTGATTTCTTTTGCCATTTTGGGTTGATTCTCGATGATTTTGGACTAGCTTGTTCTTCTATTGAAAGTTGTTGCAGTGGTGGAGAAAAAAAATGGATGATTTCAGGCTAGTTCTTCACCTTAAAAGAGAGAAAGAGTTAGAGAGAGAGAGAGAGAGAGTAGTGGGAACAATGGGTGCAAAGGACATCGAAGGTTAGGTTGGGGTTAGGGATAAGGCTTGGGGTTTGGTTTGAGTTTGTGTTAAAGAGAGGGGTAAAATAATTAACTCCGTCTAACAATTGAGGTCTAAGTGTTATTTTTAAAATGTGAAAGAATATACATATAATAAAGTCAAATATCAGGAGGTGTGAATGTAATTTACGCAAAAATTGCATGTTAATGCTTTCATCATCTCCTTTGTTGTGTTGCCCAACAATAATGCATACTACCTAATTATCATGTCTTCCAATACAGGCAAGTTATAATGTCATCCCATGCGTCATCTTGGAAACTTATTTACAACTGACCAACAACTACAACTCCACTCTTCTATTGGCAGCCACATGATTCGTTGATTTTTCTCCACCTAAAAATCTCCGAGCTCTGGCCCCACAAATCTGGTCCCAATGTATCGGCTCAGATTCCACGGGATCATACAATAAATTAGTGTCTCTTGAATGTTCTCATTTAAAACCCACGTCGTATATAGTGTGTTTGTGGGTATTTAATCGATTCGACAGCCCTCACGTGGTCAGTAATTATTCGCTGTGAATGATTTGTAAGTCCCATTCATACAAAAAAATTAAAACCCAATCCACAACTTCCTACTTCATTTGTCCGACACTCTCGCCCCCCCAGACGAATCGGAGCTGAGATAGAGAGTGACTGTTTCAAAATGGCTCGATTCCAATTGATTTCTCTCCTTTTCATTCTCATCGGATGTGTCGCCGGCACAATCGCTGGATCGTCCTCCTTCGCCGATGAAAACCCGATCAAACAAGTTGTCTCCGACGATCTACGTGAATTCGAGGCCTCTGTCCTCCAAGTCATCGGCCACACTCGTCACGCTCTCTCCTTTGCTCGCTTTGCTCACAGGTTGTCCATTAACTCTCTCTCTCTCTCTCAATATGGATTCTCTTCTACTTCTACTGGTATGTTCATGTCTTCGATCATGGGGCTGACAAAGTTTTTCTGGGTCCTACAGGTATAGGAAGAGGTACGAGACAGTGGAGGAGATGAAGCTACGGTTCTCGATCTTCGCAGAGAGCTTGAAGCTGATCAGATCGCATAACAAGAAGGGTCTGTCTTACACTGTGGGTGTAAACGGTAGGTCAAATTTTCATGTGCATATGTACGTATATGAATCTAATTTTTTTTAATGCATATATATACGCGTTTGTATGAGCTAATCGTACGGCTTTCTCTATGCTGTGGTCGCTGGGTTGATCTACAGGCTATAAATTTAGGTTTTCTGTTAAATATTTACTTGATGATTACATGTGATTCGTTCTGAAGTGATTTTCTATGAAGTTTGTCATATTATGCCAATCATAGATTGAGAAATCACCGTTTAATGGGATTATTGCAAAGTCAAACTCTTTGACTTAGTTTGAACTGTTTGATTCACATACTTCCTATCCTGATATTGTTGATATTTTTTTATTATTTTTATCTATTGGAAGGCATACTAAGGTATCTTTAATTTATCTTGTTTTTCTTTTTCCTTCCTTCTGTAAGTACTTCAGTGAGCTAACTTCCACTCAGGACTTAAATTAAGAGTTGTCCAATTTTTTGAGAGAAATAATTTCTCTGTTTCTAGAACAAATTGCAGTTCTTTATAGAAAATAACTAACGACCATCCCATGTGATGCATGGAATTTGCATATCTCTCCACTACCACCCCTAATTCCACCCCTACGCCAACCCTGCTCAAACATTATTAGAAAAATATTTGATGTTTTAAAAAGATTTAAAAGTAAAGTAGTAAAGATAATAAAAAATTTAAATGTGAAGTAGTTATCCAAAAAATTAGTAAGTAGTTACATAAGCCACGTGGAAGAATTCAATTGGAAGAGATGTGTGCATTACTATTAAATAATTCAAAATTAGTAGACGATATAATTTAAGGAGGGAAAATTTTTCAAGAACTCTCTCCTAGATTGATTCTTATAGTTATAGTATTAGTATAGATAGTATTTTGATTCCCCATTAGTCTAGTTTGTTTTGTTTATTGCAGTTCATCGTGCAAATATAGCCTGTCCATTCCATGTTACCTACCTCATAGATTTACTTTCTATTATGGTTAAGGGTTGCCTTCTGATTTATTTGTGAATTCAGTCTGTGTATGTTTTCAGTTACAGTATAGTTGTTACCTGTTAATTCATTAGTTTATTTCGTTCTTCTGTTGTGAGCTAATTCTTTTGCCAATTCTGCATATGTTATGGAACAGAGTTTGCTGATTTGACATGGGACGAGTTCCGAAAACACAGACTGGGAGCTGCTCAAAATTGTTCTGCAACCACAAAGGGAAATCACAAGCTGACTGATGATATCCTTCCTGAAACGGTAGAGTTGGACTGTGTCAAGAGTCATGCAACAAAATGATTACATAGCTTATAATGGGTGTACCTTTCAGCCATCCAATTTGAGTGTCCTCATCTCAGTTTATCCCATATCTTTTTATCAAATTTCCTCGTCGTTATATATCATATGGGATAATATGCATCATTTTACTGCAAATTACAACAGTTTGATCATTGTATATTTTATGGTATTGTATTGTATTGTAGAAAGACTGGAGGGAGGATGGCATTGTCACACCTGTCAAAAATCAAGGTCACTGTGGATCTTGCTGGACATTCAGGTTAGCTTGAGTCAAGATTTGAATGTGAAAAATGGAATTTTGGTGATTTGATTGCCCAACTAAATTGTAATATTGCTTGTAACATCAATATGGGCTTTTGCAGCACCACTGGAGCTCTAGAGGCAGCTTATGCACAGGCATTTGGGAGGCAAATATCTTTGTCTGAGCAGCAACTTGTGGACTGTGCCGGAGCTTTTAATAATTTTGGCTGCAATGGTGGGTTGCCATCCCAAGCCTTTGAGTACGTCAAATACAATGGTGGGCTTGACACGGAGCAAGCATATCCTTACACTGGAATAGATGGGACATGCAAATTCTCATCAGAAAACATCGGCGTCCAAGTTCGCGACTCTGTCAACATAACGCTGGTAAGATATATGGACAACTTTTCTTCAACACTCCAATTATGCATTTATATATTTGTTTTATATTCTATTAACAATAAACAAATATTTTTGCTCACTTGGGGTTTGGCCGACCTTTATCCAAGTTGGGATCAGGTTTGCATCATTACCAACAACAAGGCTTTTGTAATTTGTTGCTGCTGATTCCTGAGATGATCTAATGTGAGGAATTTCACTTTGTTGAATTCATTGTCAAGATATTCTTGATTTTCATCCTGACACACAATATGAATCAAGGCCGGTCCAATAGAAAGGCCACTTAAGCAACTTCTTAGGGCCCAAAAAAAAAAAGAGGGCCCCCAAATAATAAGTATAGTCTTTAACTGTAATTTAAATTGGCCCAATCTAATGAAAATTTTTACAAGGCCTAGACTAAAATAAAGACTCAATTTACATCTCTCTCACTTTTTCTAACGGTTAAAAAGCTTGAAAGTTCTAAAAAAAGAAAAATTTAATTTTCCACAATTAAAGTCTAAAAGTCTATTCTCTCTCCCCCAAGTAAAAAAAAGTTCATATAGCATAATTATGTATCTCTCTCTTTCAACCTAGATTAAATTGAAAAGGTACATATTTGTTTGATTAGTAATTTATTTTTTTAATATTTTTATTGATAGGATTAATTTAATGCAATTATTCTTTTTTTATTGTGAAAGTTTGAAATAGTAGATGATTTGAGAGGCGAACAAATTGTCAATTCAAAGCTTATACAATTTTTATTTATCAGGTGATATTGTGTTTAATTCTTATTGACTTTTATAAGATATTAGATTGTTATCTTAGTATAATTATTTGTTATTTTAAAATATATTTTATTCGCAAGAATTTTTAGATTGAAATATATCAAGTTTTTTCACAATTAAAACTCATAAAATTCTACTTTCGATCAACTATAGTACAAGAAAGATTGAATGAATTAGTCATATTATCCATTGAAAAAATATGCTAACAAAACTCAAATATAAAAATTTGATTACTAATTTTGCATAACAAAAAATGAAAAAAAATAAATTTTAAATAAAATTTTAATCATACAATATATTTTTTTTTTGATAAATTTTGATAGGCCCTCATTTAACACTTTTGCTTAGGGCCCTAGTTTTTTTTGGACTGGCCCTGATATGAATGACCAGCAAGTTAAATTTGATTTAGATATTTTGAATGACAGTGGACATTTCAACATGAGATTATATTTATAAGCACTTGTAGACATGAAGGTTTGCTAACTTATAATAATTGCAGGGTGCTGAAGAGGAACTAAAGCATGCAGTAGCATTTGTTCGGCCAGTGAGTGTGGCATTCGAGGTGGTAGATGGTTTCCGATTATATGAGGATGGAGTGTACACTAGCGACACTTGCGGGAGCGCTCCCATGGTAAGGTTTTCTAATTTAAAGATTGTGGAATGATCTAGATGGAGAGACAATTTCTAATAGATAACTATGGTCTATAATGTCCGACATCCTGGTTGCTACATCTCTGGGATACCATAAAAAGACCCTCGTGGAAGTTTAACTGGGAGCTTGAGCTTTCTCTTCACCTGCTAGCCCCTCTCCATGGCTTACTTGTAACAGAGTTCCTTATATCTGGAAGTTAAAGCATGATCAAGAGCCCAGTGTGAATACTGTTAGAAATGCATACAAATAATCCAGCACCAATTCTAAGTCTATGCTGTATTTGATTAAAGCCAGACCCCATTGTCATCAAACTTCTAAGTTCTAGTAGGTTCCTGTGATGTGTCAGCATATCAATCTTTTTTATTTTTCTTTTTTTTTTATTTGTATGCAATTAAATTTGTTGATCGGCATACTTGGGCGAGTACTCACTGTTATTTACTTTGTAATTTCTTAGCAAATGCATTTCTGCCCATGCGCGCACACACTTATTTACATATGGCTGAAGCACACATCCTTATGTTGCAAGAACCTATATCTAAAATTCCTGTAATGTTGGCAGGATGTGAACCATGCTGTTCTTGCAGTTGGGTATGGTGTTGAAAATGGTGTCCCATATTGGCTTATTAAGAACTCATGGGGAAAAGACTGGGGCAACGATGGCTACTTTAAAATGGAGCTGGGGAAGAACATGTGTGGTAAGTATGTGTGCAAATTGTGGCCTATCAAACAAAATCCACTTGGTTTCAGCTGTGATCAGAGAATCAAAAGCTTGGACACATATTATGATATTAATAAAGCTTATTATGACCCTTTGTATTAATGCGCTATTGCCCATTAACATGCAGAGAAGCAATAACATACAGTAAAAATCATTGGCATGCTTAAAGATCAAAAGATGCCAGATGAAGTTTAAAAGTTTTGTACAGTAGAAATCCTCATTCATATGCTTCGAATTCATATTAGTAACTTGTTTGCAGGTGTTGCAACTTGTGCATCATATCCTGTGGTTGCGTAAGTGTCCTTGAAGAGGTGATAAACTTGGGTAGATTGCCAGATAGAAGTTGTTCTGTTTCAATGTGGATGTAGTTATTCTCCTTTTATATGAAGTTTTATGTGTCTGAAGATGTATATGTTGTACTGAAGATGTTCCAGCCTTGATGTACAAACTTAGACTCTGAGAAAGTGTTTCAATAAATGGTTATTGATCATGTAAACAGATGTATAAATTTCCTTCGAGCCGTTTCATTAGACTCCCCCTGATTCATTCATACATGGAGATGGCAAGGGATTAGCCCCTGTTGGCACCGAGTCAACCACCTTCGAGCCGTGTCAGTACTGTGTCTTGAGTTGCGTTTACAGGTCTCTATAGAATGTAAGCCTGGCAGTTACTTCTCATTAATGCTCGAAGCTGAGCATTAATGTAATGTTCTTCATCGAGTGAACTTAATTGATTGATCTTCTCTTGCATCCTTTCGAGGTATGATCAAGTCTAATCATTGAATGGACGACTTTATCGAGGTACCATATGGTTGGTCTCATTATCTAAGATTGACACTGTTATCTATATTTTTTGACATGCTTCTCGTGTCAAGAGGCGGGACAATAGTTATTCTCCATGTCTTTTCAATAAGAGTAATGCTACACTGATCAAATTGTAGAATTAAATTTAGAGTTCAAATGACATGACAGTCGATTATTTAAAATTTTTATTAGAGTTCAAATGACATGACACTAATTAAAGAAGTTCAAGTCAACTGTCATGTCATTTAGGTTCTTAATTTGATCTTAAAATTTGGTCAATTTAGTATTATTATTTCAATTATATCAAATTAAATTATCGGGCCAAGCTGTTGTATCCCATCAATACTTGGCATTGTGCATTTATATTGTCAAAAGACTTTACTTGTTCCTCTAGGGTTAAGACTCTTCCATATCCGCCCCCGTTTCTTCTTTCCTCTACGTGTCTATATCCTATTGGTCTGTCTAACCACATTTTGTCAAATTTTTATCTTAAAATATGATAATTAAATGTATGAATGAGATTTTCACGAGCAATTCAAAATTGATTCGAATAACTGTTTATTTATATTCATTCATTCACTAAATGAGATGAACTTGAACTTCTTGACAAGTTGAGCCAAAACATTAATTTATTGAGATTGTTAGTTATAGCTGATGAACATATATTATATATGAATTTATTATATATAATATATACCAACTTATTATAAGTGTAGTCGAACCATGATTTAAACACACGTTTAAATTTGAGCACAAAATCGACTTCCTAGTCGAACCCAAATCTAATAAAAAAGTAAACTACCAACAAGCCCTAGCTGAGTCCGAAATACTCTTTGCCAACCAACGAGCCAAAACACAACAAACTGATACTCGATTCGGGATACGGTTTGGACCGTTTTGGTTCATTACACCCTAAAATGAAGGATGAATTACATCCAGATATTCTAACGTTTGTCACTTAATCACTCAAACATCTTAATATTTAAAATATTATATACACATCCTTTAAAATTTGTAGGTGCGGAACACTTAAACCCTTACTATAAATACATCATTTAATTAATTACACTTAGACTTCTCTAAATTTGTAGATATATAATATTTAGTCCCTTCAAGTTTAAAATATTATACTTATACTAAAAATACTTCAATCAAATATAAAATATAAAATATTTTAAATTTTATAACCAAAATTTATGTTCTATTGTATCATTTATTGAAATAAATTTAAAATTTTAATTTTAATTTTTTTTTCTTAAAAATTCGTAATTAGAATACTATATATTAGAATAAACTAAAAAATCAAATAAGGGATCTAAGTCATTCATAATAGAACATGAATTTTACATCCAAAATTCATGTTATATTATGTCATTTATTGAAATAAAATCAAAAATAAAAGTATAGTTTTTTTTAAAAAAAATAATAATTAGTATATAATTATACTATCTATTAGAATAAAATTAAAAAATTAAATAAAAGGTCAAACTGTAATTGACACAATATCTTTTAACTTTAATTGGAGTAGTTTGGTATTTTAATTTGGTTGTTTAAACGATCAAATTAAATTTCAATAGATAATATAATTGTATATCAATTATGATTTTTTAAGAAAAAAATTAAATTTTTATTTTGATTTTATTTTAATAAAATGATACAATAGAATATGAATTTTGATTGTAAAATTTAAAATGTTTAATATTTTATCTTTGATTGAAATATTTTTTATCTAAGTATAATATTTTAAATTTAAGGGGTCTAAGTATTATATATGTACAAATTTTAAGGGATCTAAATATAATTTATTAACTAATATATTTATAGTAAAAATCTAAATATTACACGTTTACGAACTTTAAGAGATTTGTGTATAATATTTTAAATAAATATTCTTCAAGAATCTAAGTTTCTAAGTGTAATTCTTCCACAATGAAAAGTGGGGAAGGCTTATAATTATTAAAAAGGAAAAGGAAAAAAAAACATATTTCAATCTGAATTCTGAAGAATGGAGAGTTCGAAATTACAGACGACGATTACCTGAATCCCACTCTCTGCATCTTCCAGAAAACTCTAATAAATTGGGGGACTGAAAAGCCCTAGAACCAGAAGAAGAAGAAGCAGAAGAAGATGTCTACGGACAGACACTTTTCTTCTCACTCTGCATCTCCAGAAGAGAGCAACCTGTACGATTTGTATACTCAATCTCTGATCGCGCGCACACACACACACATTCATATGCGGTGAAATGCCTAGATTTCGTAGTTTCAGTTGCCGTTTTCTTTGAATTAATTGCTTTTATCAGTTAAACAAGATTGAAGTTCTAAGAATTTACTGAGATGAGTGGACTTTGTGATTGACCTAGCCTTAGTTTAGCTATGTGAAGTGGCCACATACTCGCCACTTTCACTTACTCGTTTTTGTATACAGTGGTAATGTGTGAAACTTAGGGAAGCAAGATTTCGAGCGTGAATGGGAGATGGCATTCTCCAATCACAATCTGTTCATACTATGTTGGATTTTTTCTCAATTTATTGCCCAATATAATGTACTTTTAATAATAATCAGTAAGGTATTGGGTCTCTTTAGGCTTTTTTCTTTTTTTTTTTCGCTTCGGTTGCTGATGGATCGCTCTATTATATGCTGTAGGTTCCTTGACATACTGCATGAGGCTCCATTGTTTGGCCATCGGAGACCTACTAACATCATTGGGAGTATTTTCTATTGTGTCTTATTGGCAAGTATAATTTCTTGTTGGACAATTAATGTGCATAGTAAGGCTAATTATTATATGTTTCATTAGATTGGCTGGTAAAGCTGAATTTTTTCTTCAACTCTAGGCAGGTTATGCTATTTTGGCTGTGGCAGCGTCATGGATATTTCATCCTATACAAGAATTGATTTTACCATTGCTTTGCAGTTGTGACGTGGCTCTCTTGATCGTCACAGGTTTTCATTGAAATGTCTCCTTTCTTATTAATATCTTATTATCCAACAGGTCTTTTGCTTTTACATTGAGTTAACTTATTTGAGTGAGCTTCTGCATGTGACTATCCGTTTGTTTTTTTTTTTTACATAAATTTGTTTGTATGTTGGAAAAAAGCACATAAAACCACCACACACACACACACACGCCTCTTCAACTAGAACTTGTGGGTTCTCTAAATGTTCCGTATGCAGTTTCTTAACATTTTCTCATTCTCTATGGCTTACTTTAATCCTATAAGGATAGATAACTCTTCGTTGGTGGACACCATTTTTGTTGCATTTACCGTATGAGATAATTATGTCATTAAGGATCATTTTCTCATTATTTGCAGGCATCTTTCAGCAGTATCTTGTCTACCAAGTCCAAAAAATACGATTGCAGGTTATTCTTCTATTTCTTTACTGCCCTTTTAGCTATGGCTTATTTGCTTAAATCTTTGTTCTCACGAGGAATTCCTATATGCATCACGTTTATACATGATGATCTTGTCAAAAAAGAGTTTTTGCAGTTGAATTCCTGAGATGATGATGCTCATGGTCTCGATTTTAATTTGAGTAGTTGATTTAACACAAGTTGCCTTTTGAAAATCAATAAGAAGTTTGACTTTAGCTTGATCACTTGAGGTAATTAAAGGTTACAATATGTAAATTGTAATTGTATGTGTAAACTCATGTGTATGAAGCAACTGATCTACGAAAAGTAAATCACTTCTATCCAGACGTGTATATTGGGTCTTCGATCACTGGAATCTCTAGTTCCCCAACAGGATTGATACCTTTTTCTTGCAAAAGATAAAGAGTTACATTTTTGATTTTCATTTAATCAAGAGGCGGGGATGTAGAGACTGGATAGTCTGGTTTTCTGAGCGTGGGTTGGTTCAGCATCCATACATATTTAGATTGGGAATTTGCGAGTTTTGGAAGTTGCTGGTGTCTGGTGGCATACATTGATATAGTGTGCATCTACATGTGTAGATACATAGCAGTGGAGAGGATAGCAATTTGTTCATCCTCTGGTTTTGGGAGGTCTTTCAAGGTTTCTGACTTCCTTCCATCATAGGACTTTGTGTGATTATTTACAGTGTCAAGTAGTGGCTTACAATTAGTTATGCATTAACTCCCAAGTCCACACAATTGCACTTTGCGAACACCAGCTCTGTGCTAACAGGTTATTTCAGTTAGACAGGGTAATGATGCTCTGTGGTTATCTCTAATCATATTATAACACAGCAGAAACTTTATTCACTTTGAAGCATGAGATTCATATTAATCTGCAGGGTTACTATATTTTCAGCCAGAAGTTGAAGCATATCATTCGCCTACCTTTTGCCACTATTGCATATGGTATGTATACTCTTGCTTTTCAGTAAGGTTCCCACATCAACTGTGGCCTTTCTTGATTTAAAAATGTGTTTGGTTGAATCTTTGACAGTGCAAGAGTATAGTGGGCATATATCAACAACATCTGCTAACAGAATATTCTTTTGCTTTGTAAAACATAGACTGTAATGCCATAGTTGTCTTGTTTGGTTGGTCTTCAAAATTTCACGATCAATGTGAACGTTTCAAATATAATAAGAAGGTGCATAAGACTTACTTTGAGAATGGGATAAAATGACTTTGTGGGTTATGTTGAAGTTTGTGGTCTTATAGTGATAAGGATTAGGGGATGATGCTCCAGTTGGCAAATTTCTCTTCAGATTCCTTGGTCTGTAGACCAGAGCCTGAATTTGCTTCTAGATACGGGTCAAAATATATGTTGGATAGCATCCTTAGCTATCTGGATTAGCCTTTGGCCTGCTTGGTGATAAGTTTCAGAGCAAGAGCCAATGATATGTTTGCCAGGCATAAGTTGTATTTTTTTTAAGGCAGAAGTTTGTTCATCGTCTTAGATTGTTATCATGAATCTTTCGCAGCTGGATGAAGCAGTAGACAAGTATGTGTTCCACTTCTTGATATAGATTGATATCGTCTTTGTATGGGGCTAGGCGAGAATCATTCTCTTGATCTTTGACACAATTACTTCCCAAACTAGCTTGCTACGTTAAAATTTCTTATGTTTCTTTTAAACTATGTGATTACTACCATTATATTGTTGATATGCTAGCACTCAACCTGAATACAAACTTTGTTTCATGCTTCTATCTTTCTCCTCTAAACATCCTAACGTTAATGTACTTTTCTTTGCCTTGGATAGAAGTATCTGTCTCACTTGCTCTGGTTTGATGCCAGGAACTGCTGCAATGCTACTGGTCATGGTTTGGGAACCCCATATCAGTTTTCTTTCTATCTCGATGTTACTCAGGTATTCAAAACACGTACTTAAAGTGTTGTGCACAGCATCAGCTGCTACAATTGGTCTTGCCTTGTCTATATTTCAAAGTACAACCCAACTTTTTCCAAAGCATTGACTATTGGCTTCATGGTGTATTGTTGAACTCTGATTTTCTGAGTCGTATTATCCTTATGTTTACCTTCTTGTCCATTTTTGAACATCTCTCCCTCTATCTATTAGTGTTTTCTCCCTTTCTTGTGGTGATGTAGTGCTAAACTGTGGCATTTAGTATGACATGAATTAGTAACATTTCTTTTAACAAAATGAACTTCTATGTGAAGTCTGAGCTACATGAGTATATTTTGTGATAAAACATATGATCTGCAGACTCAGGAGATGATCCTTTTAGGTTGGTTGGGCAAGAAAAGAATGGCACTCACATTTTGGATCTTCAGTTATGATTTTTGAATTGATCTTCCAGCACATTTGTCCTTCCACATGATTCAACATAGGGACAGCATGAAGGATCTTGGTTGTTACATTTAATTCTGTGCCTATATTGTTTGCAATATTAATTTCCCTGCATTTTAATTTTGTCGTAGTTTTTTTTTTTTTTTCATTTTTGTGGATGGTTTTGGCCTTGTTTGTGTCATATAGAAAGCCAGTTCAGCAAACTAAGTATAATAAGCGCATTCGATATTGAAATTATAGCTACTTTGAATGGAGACTGTGTGAAGTTTAGTAGTAATTTTTAATATGGCTTTGGAACATTTTTGCTGACAGTTTCTTGGCTTGCTTGGCACATTTGCAGGACCATTATGCTAACTGAAGTAATTTGTGCTGGTTTTTTTATGAGTGTCTACATTGGTGAGTTTTCCATCTTACCTAGGTGATATTGAGGTGATGATTTTTTGTAATGCAACCAACAAACGGTTTAGAAGTTTTACTTCTGTGTGAGTGTGTGTGTTTTTTCCAATTGTTGCAGTCGAAATCAACAATATCAGTTTAGTTTGAGGCTCAGTAAATAAACTTACCTTTAACTGATTTTATATTTATGATAACAAGCTTTCATTGTCTCTCTTTGACGTGAAGGCGGGGATTGTGTTGCATAAAAAATCAAGTAAAAACCTGCAGTCAATTTTTTTATGCCTTTTGTCAACTATAATTAGAGATTGCATTTTTTGTTGTTGGGTTTGTGTCGTGTTGGACATTACCACCCTCTTTACGGTAGAAATGGTGTTTGTTTATTTTGTCCAAGTTGGTTTATTTATGCTTGACACCAATCAAACTCGTTTATCATCCATGTTAGCGGGTATGTTAATTTCGGGTTCATGTCAAGTAACAGTGAACCCGACCCGCTACTTTCTTGTTGGATCCATGTCCGGTTGGCGCATGTTTATGGTAGATTTTCCCCTCTGATGCAATCCATAAGATGCTCAAAGAAACACAAATTCGAAGATGTGAAAGATAATGGAATTGACTTTCCATCAAGATAAAGATCCATATGAAACCTTGCATTCTTATTTTAAGTTAATTTTGCTAGTATTAATATTTTATATGTCCTTTTAATATTTTTTAGTGTCGGGGATATTTTATAATTTCTAGAATTTATGGAATAGGTCATATTTTTGGGTCAAATTCTAGTATTGAATATGCTAAAATTTAAAATCCTAGTTCTAGTTAATTTTAGTTTTCTAATTTGTAGGGACCTAGTGTCTTTAAAGTTCTAGAGACTTTAGAATCCTAATCTTTTGGGATTAGGATTACTTAGAACTCTTTATATAGTTAGTGTTACTTTTAATAATAGATAAAGAAAGATATTTAAAATTTTCAGCAATTAAATGTTTCTTGAGTTGTGTGATGCAATTCTAATCCTAGGTGTGATGCCTACGGAACTCTAGGATTGATTTCTAGCCAAAATTACTGTTCATGCTACTGTTTACAGCCCCATTACTGTTCACAGCCCCTAAATAGTCCCTATTTTTATTTTACAAAGTTGTCCTACATTAGTTTGGTATTAAAGCCGAAAAATCCTATGTTATGCGGCTTAAATATTAATATATAATGATGGAGATCCAAGATTTTGATGGAAGGGATGATTCTATAATATTCTCTAGTTGGTTTGTTTCTATGGAGAACTATTTTGTTAGGTATAATTTCTCAGATGAGAGGAGAGTAAGGCTTGCCAAGATGAAACTTGTAGGCTTGGCAAAAATTTGGTAGTTTGGTGTTGAAGGAGATATAAGAAGATTGGGACAAACACATGACAAAAGATGAAAGCTAAACTTCAACAGAATTATATGTCTTTAAACTATAGTAGCAAGTTGTGCAAACAACTTATTAATCTGCAACAAGGTAACCTATCTGTTACAGAGTATATTCAAAGATTTGAAGACCTAATGTTGAAAAATCATATTGTAGAAGAACCTTGCCAAACAATTTTTTCGATTCAAGGCTGGTTTAAGAGCAAATATAAAGGTAGAAATACTTGGGCAGCTACTATAAAACTTAGAGCATGCATTTCAAGTAGCACTTGGTACGGAGATGTACCTAAATTTCCTTCACCAAGTAGGTATATCAAGGGTTTCTTCTTCGTAAAGAGGTAAAACTTAAAGTTATTTCGATTCTACTGTGCAACTAGAGAAGATTCATCAAAAGCAGCCCAAAGCAACAACTGATCGAATAATTCAAGATGAAAGAAATCAAGTAGAAGAATCAACACAATCTCAAGCAACTACGCTACTTACTTGTCCAAAGGCTAAGGTAAAAAGTGAATATCCAGACAATTTTTCTGTTGTGGAGCCTGACAAGATGGAAAATTCAGCAACTAGTATTGAATCAAATGAGTCTTTAGAGATGAGTATGTTACTACCTAAGAGCTCTGAAATAGTGCTAAAAGTGTTGCCCGGTGAAATTGTTCCCATTAATGACTTACAACCAGCAACAATGATGTTCCAAGAGCTTGATTTGTTTGCATCTTTCAAGGATCTACATGAAGAGTCACTAATGCTTCTTCCTATCCACTTTGCTCCACCAATTGAATTAACATTTCAAAAAATTTCAACGACACAATCAAGGGGATCAATTTTCAAATTTTTTCTTTGTTTCCTCAATTAAAGAAGAAAATGAGACATCATCTTAACGTTTCTCAGAGACAGCTACATATACAAGTTCAACGTTTTTTGACTTTCATACTGCAACACTTTAAAACTCGAGGTTTTCTCTGACCAGGAGAGAATGATGTAATCCATAAGATGCTCAAGAAAACACAAATTCGAAGATGTGAAAGATAATGGAATTGACTTTCCATAAAGACAAAGATCCATATAGAACCTACATTCTTATTTTAAGTTAATTTGCCAGTATTAATATTTTATATGTCCTTTTAATATTTTTTAGTGTCGGGGGTATTTTGTAATTTCTAGAATTTCTGGAATAGGTCATATTTTTGGGTCAAATTCTAGTATTGAATATTTTAGAATTTAAAGTTCTAGTTCTAGTTAATTTTAGTTTTTTAATTTGTAAGGACTTAGTGTCTTTGAAGTTCTAGAAACTTTGGAATCCTAATCTTTTGGAATTAGGATTACTTAGAACGCTTTATATAGTTAGTGTTATTTTTAATAATAGATAAAGAAAGATATTCAGAATTTTCAGCAATTACATGTTTCTTGAGTTGTGTGATGCAATTCTAACCCTATGTGTGATGCCTACGGAACCCTAGGAGTGATTCCTAGCCAAAATTACTGTTCAAGGATACTGTTCACACCCCTAAACAGTCCCTATTTTTATTTTACAAAGTTGTCCTACATCACGCTCACTGTTATTCAACGAGTAGACTGATGCTTGCAGGTTATGTACACCAGTACAATTCATTGGATTCTCAGCCTGATGTTTTGAAGTCTTTATATTCTCCACTTCAGCCATCAAGTTCTTTGGAAGGGTTGAGGTAGTGTAATATCTATCAGATTTATGTTTCCAGTTTTTAGGAACAGATTCAGCTTTCTAGCATTTGTCTTTCAATGATGTTTTGTTAGTCTATTTATTTACCAGGGTCCAGAATAAATGTTGGAAGTTACATTGTTCTTGTCATCATATATTGGTCTCCCTTATATTCTAATCTGCTTCTTACTCCATATGTTTTTTTTTCTTATTTAAATGAAAAAAGAAAATATTATTCTGACTTCCCTTTTGAAGGCTGGATAAGTCGTTTGGGGTTGAGCATGGTTGCCGATCATATTACTTGGTTAAATTCTATTTCAAACAAGCCTAGCCCAATGTATAACTGGTTCTCTATTTTTATATTTTAGCTTCTTTGGGTGATGTTTTGTGCATTTTACGTAATAATACCACTTAATCAAGATAGGGGGTTTTATTTAACTAAATACTCAAATGACTTGGCCCACTTTTGGGGTCAGGCATATTCAATTAGCTGGTCACTCCATCTGAGATTCACACAACTGTACCTTTAGATACTGTTATTAACCATATTATTCTCCTTGTGGCGCCGTTGATGTGGAGGATATGATTAGTTACTACTGCATTATTTATTCTTTTTTTGCACATAATTAAAGTAAACTTAAGTATTGTAGTTGTCCAACAGCACAGCCACTGTTGCTTATTGGACTGGCAAACAACTGTGCGGAGGTTATATGGCCATGTTTGTCAATGCATGCTTGTGCTGGCTCTCGCACATTATTCATTTATTAAGGATTTTTTTTACATGGAGATAAGTTGACTCATTTTTTTAACCTCTATGATTTTCAGTCAAAGGAGAATAATTCCTAAGGTAATTCTTGGAAATCTTTGCTTGCATAAAACAAATGGCTTAATTAATGGAGTAAATATCATGGCTTCGATATGCGAGCTACCAAACATATTTGAACAAATTTTCATGTAACATTGCTCATAAGATGATTTTTTGGCAATACTACAGATAACAGAAATGTGCAATGTGTTGAATGTTTTTAAATTCAGCCAAAACTTCAAAATTTTTGGACTCGATGTTCTCTTGCCCGATTTTTATATGCTGTCGTATAACTTTGCTGAGTCCCTTTTTAGTTTTACTTTCATATTTGTCAGCACTCAAATTGGTGCTACAGTAAAACCATAATCTGGTAAAGGGATTTGCATTACTATTAACAAAATCATGGTGCCATTAAAAATTATGAATGAACTTGCAAGTTTGAGAATTGTTTGGCATGACAGGTATCACGAAGGTGGTCGACTCTCTGATCAGCAAATCGCTTTGTTGCAATATCAGCGTGAAAACATTCACTTTCTGAGTGAGGAGGTATTTCGTTTCTGAAACCTTGTAATTGATGGTGACCATATTGCTCCACAATTAGTAGCTTACATAATGTAAAATAGAAAAGTAAATTCAAACAATGTTCAATTTGAGTAATTTCTTTGCATCTTCTTTTGTAGATTCTCCGATTGCAAGAATGCTTGAGCAAATATGAAAGGTCTAATGATGGGAGCACACCTCAGGTAAGGATTATAAGTTTATAACTGACTACTAATTTTTAATAGGTTGGAATGTAGTGTATTTATTAATTATATTGAGAAGGTTGAAACCATCAAATATACCATACTGGGAAGTCTGCCGTTCTAAAACCTGGTCATGAGCCTTGAGTAAATCCTCTAAGTAGGTCAATTGTCATTATTCTATGCAGGAAGATCTGAAAGGTTTCTCTGTTCAATATACATATACATTGCCTCTCTCTCTCTCTCTCTCTCACACACATACACACACGCACCTGATTGCGTGCACACATTTTTGTGAACTATGATGGACGTGGAAGAGGATAGGCAAAAATTCAGGTGTAAGATATGGAGAAATCTTTCAAATATGGAATACCAAATGATAGCCACTGATTTTTTTTTTCCAAAAAAGGTTAGCTACACAAGTATATTGTCTGTAATCATTTGTAGGTCTGATGGAGGTGCCTCTTTTTAGCACCAAAACTGAGATTCTAGATTATGGTTCATGGGTCTGTTTCTTGTATCCTTCTTCATGGGTCTCTCTCTTTAAAAAAAGTATTTCTTGTATCATTCATCAATAATGAACCTTGAATGGTCCGATATTGGTCTTGGAGAGTTAAAATAGTTGAACGTGAAAACTTTAGTATAATTGGTTGAATTGACTCTTGCAGGTTGATCTTGCTCATCTATTAGCAGCTCGTGATCAAGAATTACGGACACTTTCAGCTGAGGTATCAATTGCTTTTATGATCCAAATGTGTGTAGTTACCTGGTGCTTTATCGAACAAAACAGAAGGCAATAAAAAATTTGTTGCTAGCCTTTCAATTGAAAGTGTTTTTTTAGGTACAAAATGCTTTTTCCATTTCATATTCTTGTAGTTCTCTCTTGTCTTCCCCTTCACTTGCTCTTATGTTCTGGCTTAACCTTCACATTTTGTTTTTCATGGTCTTTCAAGTTTCATTGAGACTGTATCTCTCTGTTCTATTAACCATGTTTACCGGGAGCTAGAAATGGGTTACTTTGACTAGTAAGGGTGGTAGTTAAAGTGCAACAGAAGGATCAGTATATAATTTTTGAGTAATTTTTCCATTCTGGCATCACTTGTTCAATGTTTCTTGGCATCTTTGCTGAGACAAGTTGAAGAAACTTACTTCCTCAATTTGTTAACCTCCTTATTTTGAGAAAATTTTGAATGCTCCTATGAAGCCAGCAAAATATATCAATCCAAATCCATTCTACATTGTGTGGCATCACCTTGATCAACTATAATCAAACTCGTTATATTGTCATTAATTCTCAACTGCCTCAGATCAGAAAACTGCCTTCCTAAAGATGTGGTCGCTTTTGTAAATCTGTTCTAAAATAATCCATCAAGCATATTTGCTGATCAAAAGTTTTACTGAGGAAATCTACAGATTCTCAAGTTGTCTAGGTGGATACCCGCCATTAACTTTTTGGGGATATTAGGGTATTTGTCATATACTGAAATTTTTACAAACTTCAGATGAATCAGTTGCAATCTGAGCTAAGGCTTGCCCGATCTCTTATTGCTGAAAGGGACTCCGAGATCCAGCGTGTTCGCACTACAAACAGTCAGGTGTGTTCCGCCAGCTTGGATTCTGTAAATTCTTTGGTTCATCTGTATTTATAGTCTCTTATGTAGAGGGCTATTAGGTTATTATTATATCCTTCGAGAGAAAATTAAAATAGAAAGCAATGTATCTCTTTTGTTGATTCAGGCGAAAATTGTGCCTAGGTTACCTTATCAGTTGCCCATGATACCCTCTTGTATTTCATTACCTGTTCTTTTTTGCTTACTTGCATTTCTTAATCATTCTTGTTAACGCTGGTACAGTATGTTGAGGAGAATGAGAGATTGAGAGCTATATTGGGTGAATGGAGTACCAGAGCAGCAAAGGTAAGAAGTTTAATCAGTATTAGATTTCATCGGCCACTCTAGCTTTATTTCTTCCTCTAATGTGACTATGCTCACTTGTGTTTTTGTGGAGAAAAGCTTGAGCGGGCATTGGAGGTTGAGCGGATGTCAAATTTGGAAATGCAGAAGAAAATATCAACACTGAAAAGTCAGACAACGCAGGAATCAGTTGAACCAACTTAGTGGCTTGGAGTTGATCATCACTATACAAACCAGTATATCCATTGATCTTCTGTATCATTCTTGTGTTATTTTCTTCTTCAATCATGATTTGACTGAGAGAGAGAGTAGATGGTTCAATGTAGACTGTACAGATAAGTTACTTCACAGGGTAGATATCGCTTTTGTATGCATCAGAATTAATATGACATGATTCGTTTATAATGTTGTCTTGGCCTTCCAGTCTCCATGATATAGTTACTTCACAGGGTATTATATTCTCGAGGGAAACTATACATATAGTTCTCAAACTACGACTCGTGTCAATTAAATCCTGAATTTTTTTATTTTTTTTAATTGAGCTTTTAAACTCTTTGATTGTATCAATTTAGTCTTTGTCTGCCTCAACTAAATTTTCTAATGGAAAGTGGCAAAATGTGTCATTTAAGTGACACAAATAATTTTTTGTGACTACACATATGACCTTCAAACTATAATTTTTTTGTCAATTGAATTCTTAAATTTTTTGTATCAATTAAATTCTTGTACTCTTTAATTGAGTTTTTTCATCTTTTTATGCGATATAGTCACGTGAAGGACACTCTCTGATGGAGACAGATATAAGAGTTCAATTGACCCAATTAAAGAGTTCAATGATTCGATTGACAAAAATTAAGGACTTAAATTTATATGTGAAAACGGATAATATGGCATAATTACTCATCTGTAATATTCATATAGCTTCTGAATTTTAAGGATCTCAGCAATTATTTTCAATGAACTTTGTTCGAGATTAGCAGATCACCAGCGCTAACATGGAGATCTTTTACTGAGTCAACATGTTTTCTATCCAATCATTGAGCCATAATTTTGAACTGGCTAAAGGTACAAGTTAACCTCATTAGTCGGACCGAACTTGAAACCATAGATCTCTTCCTATCATTTAGTTTACATCGCTGAACATTTCAACATCGGTTGAATCTCAGTAGGTGGGCATACATACCCTAGCATGTTCCAGCATAATATCTCTATCTTCTGAAGTTGGTGCCGATACAAATCAGTACAAACTTTCAATGGCTACATGAGTAGCTCAACTACAAGGGAGATACATGAGTAGTCTCATTTAAAAAAAGACAACCAAAAACACAATTATAGAAGTCACGACCTTTAACAATTTCTCCCCCTTTCATCACAGCTTCAGTGTCATACTTCAATGCTCTAGTACAGTCGGGGCAATAGGTGACCTGCACTTGCAGACAATATAACAAATTCAAAAGCCGATAAGCATCTGGAGATTTAGGCACCTCTTATAGCCACTGGGCATATTCATGAATAAAGATTCGAGTTTTGGAACACCGAGTAGAAGAAAAAGATATTGCACAACAATGGTTATTTTGGCGATTGCACTCCATGCTCATGTGAGATGAATGTTCAACCAGTCGCTGAACATATTTTTGCGAGTGGAAATGGCACCACACCAAATTTATTAATAAGGGAAGTGCAAGTGCAAAGATGATTTAACAAATATTTAACTCAAATGCTTTTATGATAAACTTGCAGGAAGAAACATGTTAAATTCATCTTAATGCTAGAAAGAAGCACAGGTGAAAGGAAAATATTTACCATTGTTGTAATTGACTTCTCATTGGCTAAAAGATTTGCCTATTATTCAGGGTTTTTTAGCTTCATACCTGTGATTATCATCAGGCCTGTAAAAATTACACGTTTTTGTATGTTCATCTTTTGATAATCTATACTTCAAATGTTGTGGCGTTATTTATGTCTTGGTTGACAATAAATTTGTCAATAATTTCCAACAAAAAATTGATGCGGTGAAGAGAGCTATATGGCAAGTCTGACTAGATTTAGTAACACACCTCCAATAACTTCGGCTGGAAGTGGCAATCAAGCATGACATCCACACCATACATGGCCCTTGACGTTGAACTGTGCATTTCTGGATGCACCGTTGCAGCTGACTTGAAAACAGATCGGATCATTCTTTGAACTCTTGTATGGATATCCAACCATTTAACTGTAACATATGCAAGAAACCACATTAAGAATAAATTCAAGAGTGCCAAAAAATCCCTTGATGGAAGGCAAGCAAAACATGGAGAAGATAGGAGTGCTTTAGCACCTTGATGTTCCTGTTCAAACTCCTTAATAAAATCTGATATATTCATGTGATTTAATATCCCCCTGTAATTCTGAAGGCCAAAAAAGGGATTGTAAGGGTGGATGCATCATTTGAATCAAAAGAAGATGCCAAATTTACCCAGAAAACAGCTGCCCAATTTAACAGCGTTTTTTGTCTGCTTGGCAGAGCATCACATTGCAAGCTATGTCCCCAAACTGGGGCAAGTAAGTAATGTGAGATCATTTTAATGTTGTTGTGGTAATAGGTACTCACCATAACAGTGAAATGAGTCTCATATTCAAAAAAACTGTGGTTGTCCAAAGTATACGCATTGTTTGCCAATCTAACCTGAAAAGGATTGGAAATAAAATTTAAATGCCGGCATCTATAATGTGTAAATCTTTTAAAGCTATAACAAAGAGTCTCTCCATCACTATTCATCTCTTGAGTTCTTCATTTGATAAATGAAATCAATACTCATGCCAGAACAACTGTATCACCAACCTATTCTTTTGATCTTCAATTTAAGTTCATTGTTTATCTGAAAAAATACAATAGGAGATAAAGGAAACATATACATACCCAGAAAATGTCAGAAAGGAATATTTCCAACGGTTTCATGCTGCGGACCAGAACAATATAACGAATATCAAACTTCTTCCCTTTGAACAAAGCAGGGTGCTCAATATACTTCTGACATATTTTTGGACCAGTCTCCATGAGACGGATGATAGCAGATAGACAGCCAGTGACAGTTGTATCAATAGTTCTTGCCATGTTCCATGGCTTTAAGATCCAGAGATTGTTAAGCCCATCCCTTTCACGTACATAATAGTCACCAATAAATTGACTTAACTGTGTTTCAAGGTTGTAAGTAGGCTGAAACCAGTTGGGAGATCCATGTGCCTGGCAGAAAAGAAATCCACAATTAGTAACATCTTGCATAAGAATATAGTAAGTTTTTACATTGACATTTCATCCATTACAAATAAAATTAAGATGTAGAATGACCTTCTGAACTGTTTCTGCCAAATGGTGTTTCATGACGAGACAAGCCTCAAAAGGAAATTGATTTATACACTGTTGATCATGTATTCCCACGACCTTCTTTATATTTTCATCCACCTGCATACTTGTCCATATTATATCTGCCTCCTTTGGGTCAGTTGCTGCAATTGAAGAATATAAGAACTGAGATTTGTCAAGAAAATATTTTCTCAAACAAGTGATAGACACAAACTTCTCCTGTCCATAATACCAAAAAGAAAAAACTTACTTCTAGATTCAAGACAATTGAGGAAACTAAAGGAACAATAGCAGGCAAACTACTATCTTGACCCTAGCAAAAAAAGGGACTAGGTGGAGCAACCCACTTTAGAATTAATTACGTTATATAGATTCACATAGATCATCTCAGAATCAGAAGTAGGGACGAAATGAATTTAATCATAGCCAGCATTAAAATTATAAAGGAGATGCACTGGTACTTGACAAAACAATACCTATTTTAAATTCAGGACGGGTCAAAAATTCTTCCACTTGGGGTATATCAGTGTAAACACGTAAAGCACTTCCATCACCACGAAGCAGACTATTGGTTGTGGATGGCTTCACAGGTGGAGAACCACATCTTGGCAATTGCAATTTCTGCCAAAGTGTCTCATACTCCTGAAGAATCAGCCGTAGTATGCCCAAATGTGAATGTAACTTCTAACTGAAGTAAATAATAGCAGGGAGGTATGAGTCAACTTAGTTAAGGGCAATACATACTTTAACAAAATAATTTCGTGGGGTATGGAACCAAGCAGCAAGTCTGCCAGAACGTTGTTTCTCCTCCCCAATACCAAATAGATAATCACGAGTGCACTCATCACCTTTTTGGACATTCTCAGTAGGCCATAAAATGGAAAAGCTGAAAAATTATTCAAATTAACAATCTTGCAAGATATGTTGAGTCACCAAATACCTATTCTCAAACAGTAGAATCATTATGAAATCACAGAACATCTCCACATGCCTTTGGAATAAGCAAAGGATGATTTAGGCAATAGACCGCAGGAATAACTCTAACCTTTGAAAACATGAACCTTCTCATTACAAAAATCCTTGACACAATGGAAGGTGAAAACTTTTTTCTAGTGCAGGTAATATGAGTAATGATGCTCCTTTAAAGCAGGAAAGAAAGATTAACAATGGTTAGAAAAGAGAACCTCACAGCTGACGCTAGTTTGCCATCTGACATGTAGAGAAAGGGAGACACTCTGAAATTTGGCTCATCACTATGCCGCAAAGCTGAACCCAGCTCATCCATCACATAACTTCAAGGCACATCCAAATTTAATGTTACTTATACAAATAATTAAACAAAACAAAAGAAAACCCCAAAATAAAGACCACCAATAGTTCACTCATTTCTCATAAGAACCAAAATATCTATCAATCTTAGTAATGATTGCTTTGATGTATTCCCAGTACTTTTGACAATGCCATTAAGTTACAAGAGATAGGCATGAAATATTTCAGAATCTTCACTATAAGGGTGGTTTAAATGTTTAGGTGTTGTTTTGCGAAATCCAAGGGCCAGGTCAAGTAAGGATGATTGTGAAAACTTTACGCTTAGTAGTGTCCATGATACACGGAGTAGATGCCAGTGCACGAGCAAGAGGGTTTAAATTTTCACATGAGCTAGAGCATCTTCATGTATATTTGTTTATTTACTTACAAATCTTTCACAACGGTTAGCAAAAGGTGTTTCCACGCTCCAATTAGCAGTTGACCAACCGAATATGTCATTTTAACAGGTCAAAATCATGGATTAAATCCAATTTACGAAATGCACTTCAATCCAGCCCTTGGGCGAGTTGTATATGCTGTATAGTGCTTTTTAAAGCCATTTAAATTTGGATTTGCTTAAGTTTTCACAAGAAAAGGGGCTGGAAACAATGCTTTTTCAAACAAAACACAATGTTAATTTTCTTGTGAGCTAATTTTGATGATACCGAAATGGGCCCCTGACACTAGAAATTCAACTAAATCCTGTCGCTCCAGCAAAATACAGAAAACAAAATGGTAAGAAGCAATCTTCAAGTGAATGTTAACCTTGCATGCATACCATACAGAGGTTTCATCTATCTTTTCCTCATCTGCAAGTCTATATGTCATCAAATACAACCACATTGCATTGATAACACGATCAGTCAGAGAATCCCCAGCTTTCCATTCAGGAAGGCGTGGTTGAAGCATTGAATCAATCACATGCTTCCCAGACTGTAAAATTCTTGATGCGTTGACCCCATTCAGCAGAGAAAGATGTGGAAGAGATTCAAGAATTTCAGCAGCACTTTCTCCCAGAGGGCCTGGAATATCCACCTATTCCATTGCTTTTATTAGCTAAACATTCATGCATATGCTAGCATAGAGGAGAAATAGTATTAAGAAAGATACCTCCAGAGAATGCAAGCTAGTAAATCTCTTTAGAAGCTCCAACAAGTCACAGACTGAGTTCTGTTCCAGTGGATTTCCTCGAAGATTCAAATATAAAAGAGATGGCATTTCTTCTGGGGAAAATGTCTGAAGAAAAATAGGAACAAAATCAAATGAACAATGATCTAGCTTGAGGAATCATAAATGTCACTTGAATCAACAAGAGGCAGCATCCATTAAGTCATCACAAAGTCAACAAATAAGTAAATGATAAGCTACAATTTGGTGAAAAATAGGATCATGTCTAAAAGTTAATTGATGCACAAGAATAACGGAGAACTAGTCATGAACAACAAGGGTTTAACATGTAGTTAGCCCTAACCTTCCTGATTAAATTCTGAATGCACCGATTTGAAAGGTCAAGAGATGTGACACTTCGCAATGGATGGCCTCCTTGATGGGCACTACCCGGATTGTCTTTGCCATATATCCCTCCACAAAATCCCAATGCCCATTCACCAAAATTAGGGGTGAAACGGGAGTTGTAAATTTCTAATTTTGGGCAACCTTGAAAAATGGTATCTGCCATGTGATTGTTACTAAAAGTAGAGTAGCTCAGTTGTCCCTCTACAAAAGCCAATAGCAGCAACTTGAACAAGATAACAGTAATACTTTTCCATGTATAGGCAAACTTACCAGTTATGTAGAACAGGATTGTTGTTCAGCCAGAGAGCTCTAAGTTGTTCAAATTTGGTAATTTCATCAGTAATAGCACCCACATCCTCAAGCTTGTTGTCACACAGGCTAAGTGCAAATAGATTCTAATGCAAAAAAAGGAAAAAAAAAAAATGAAAGCCATGTACAGCTTCAAAAAATAAGCAATTATAACTAGCACAGCTAAAAACAACACAACAGGATACTATACTAAATTGTTTAAATTATGATGGTTGTAAGATCTTGGTTAAGAATTGAGTATCTAATACAGTTGCATATCCAGCAATTGTGACCATGTCTATACTAAGACAGATTTGAAATCCAATAGATAGCTGGAATAAAAATGGCATCCACAGCATCACAACAAAATTATCCAATGTAGGCAATAAGGGTGTCATCGCACAGAACAGAAGGGAGATGAAGGCACAATTAAGTGTATCTCTTAACTTTTTAGGCTCTGGAAAGGGGAATGCACTAAACAACGTGGAAAGTTCATGTGCAAAAATGCACTCAGGCCCACATAGGACCAGCACCACAACCCTCTCTTGCTTTCCACATGCCTAAATTAGCCTATTCAACAAAGAACAACCTCATCTGTCTGTCTTTGCCAAACATCAAATCCCAACATACTAGGATTAAAAAAGTGGTCCTTAAGTCGTGCTTGTTTTAAAAATGGCGGTGACACCGATATTATATGAATGAAACATAAAATAAATACTAATGGCATACAGGAAATCTACTAGGCAAATGGAGCGACAACAGCGTTGCATCGTCAATGTCAAGCCCCTCAAGCTCCAACCATCTCACAGCATCATCGCCTTTCTCTTTCGCTTTACAAACTTCCCTCTCCATTATCTCCACAGCACTCAATTTAGTACCATTTTCATCCAAGTCTTCAGCCGCAGTATCCGTCTCATCAGCCTCTGAAATCAAATCAATATCCACACACATCAAAGAAGCTATTCTCTCTGCCAACCCCGGAACTTCTTGCAACTGCAAAAGACTCAAAAATACCAAACTTCAATTTAGAAGAAACCAATAAATACATGAACAACACAAGCATTAATCAAGTTCAGGTTATTATTATTCCTTGTATTTTCCCACACTTTGAGACAAACCTGTTTACAAGCGTCAGACAGTCGAAATGTCCAAGCATGGTCAACGAGAAAAACGATGGACTCCTTCCCCAAGAAATCGGAGGTGAGTACAAGCCTCCTCTGTCTACCATCGTCGACTGGCTCGACCTGGAAGTAGTCGCCGCCATCGAAGGTCTCGGTGGAGAGCTTGTGGAACAATTGGCGGTGCAGTGACTGAGGTATGCCTGAAGCTGCCAATAACAGACCGTGAACTTCCACGAAGTCCTCATATGTTTGGATCGTTTTGGTCGAGGAGGCCATTTTCGGAGGTGATAGTGGTTGAGGCTCTGTGACTGTGGATGTGGGGGGGGAGGGGGGGGGGGGGGGCCTATGGTCTGGGGTTTAAAGGGTTTTGGGAAAGTGGCTTTTTGGTTTTGGGGGGGTTAAAAGTATAGTTAACTCTTTTTTTTTCCCATTAATATGTATAAAATCACCAAATTAACACAAATTTAATGAATTTATATTTTACCAAATAATCAAATTTAATAAAATCACCATATAAGCACCACACTTTCAAATACTTTTAATGAATGCGACACAAATTTAAAATTTTATATTTTACCAATATGGTGAACTATCAGATGCACCATAAAATTTATATATATATATATATATATATATATGTAACTAAATCATAATTAAATTCGTATTGAATTGAAATGACTTTGCACTTAATCGAACGGTGTTTAATCATTTCATTTATAATTTGAAAAATTTTCATCTTTATAGTTAGATCTAAATTTAATAATACCCTCATAATTCTGAAATTATAATGTATCTCATTCTGTTTTATACTTTCAAATTAATGATATCCTCGTAACGGTAACTTTTGTTTCTGTTAGTAGATAAAGTAATTATTTGATTAATATTTTATTAAAAAATTCAAAATTATCTTTTATTATATAAATAGACTAAAATGCCATCGATCATTTCCTCATTATATGCCCTAGCTACTTAGCAAGCCTGATTTTTGTCATTATATTATTCCAATGAATTTTTATCATTTGTTATAATATTAGTCATCATTTTATCACTCATTTGATTACATAATCAAGTTTTTATAATTTAAAATAAATTTTTTATGATAAAAATTACAATCGATAAAACTCAATATCAAAATCCCATCAATTTCTAACTCTTCTACCATCATTTATCTTTCACAACGTCACTTGACCACTTTTTACATATTATCTTTCATATATAAAATTTAAATATTATTTGATAAAATTTAATATTAATTGAATAAATTTAATCTTAATTTGATAAATTTAAATATTAATTTTGTGTTAATTTAATAAAATTAAATATTAAATTAGTGTTGATTTCATAAAATTTAATGTTAATTGAATAAATTGAAATGTTGATTTAATGAAATTGAATGTTCATTTGGTGTTAAATTATAAAAATGACATTAATTTGACAAGGTTAAATATTAAATTTTAATTTAATAAAATTGAATGTCAATTTGATAAAATTAAATATAATGCTAATTTAATAAAATTAAATATTATTTTTGTATTGATTTGATGAAATAGAATGTTAATTTATTTTAAATTAAATAAAGGAGATTAATTTGATAAAATTAAATATTAAATTAATCAACTTAGAAGCTAATGAAATAGAATTAAAAGAGAGTGCATTGAAATTTCAAATTTTGGGGATATTATAAAAGTTAGGTTTATTTATAAGGGATATGAATAAAATTTATTTTATAAAATATTTAAAAATATTTATATAAATCAATTATTGTCATTTACGTTGTAATTCGACAATCACCGACTGTGGGTAACAATAAAATTTTAAAATTAAAAAAGGGTGTCATTAAATATAAATCTATATAAGAGGGTGCTGATGAAATTTTTCCGTAGAGGAAGCATCTCGAATCAGGCACGACACTTGAAATCATTGACTCGGCCGCCGGGAAACAACAATGAAGACCAACGTAACCAATCAACCAACTGTAGACGACCACGAGTGGGTCCCTCCTTCCCCCTTTTTCTTTATCTACTTTACACGTGGTATTTGTCTACAAATAATCAAAAATAAAAAAAAATATAGAATAAATAAATTTAGATGCAGTTCAGGCCAACGTAAAAAAAAAATGAAAAATTCGATAATTCTATTTTGAGATGTAAAAAAAAATGAAAAATTCGATAATTCTATTTTCAGATATTACATAATAATATAGTGGTACGATGGTTCTCCTAGAATGACATACTAATACGATAATCTAGCAATATAATGAAGGATGAATTTAAATTTAATGAATTTAATTTTTAATTCTCGAATTATGCATACCTATTCTCTGTGGTTGGTTAATAAATTATTAAATTTATCTCATACAATTTTATCAAGTAAATCATTTTAAAATAAATTAACAATCAACTCACAAACTTAGATAAAATAATATAATCCTAACATAACCCAAAATTCTCTGGAAACTTCGATGAATAGTTTAAATAATAAAAGAAATAAATTATAAATTTAAAAATTTTGTATTTGAATTTTGATGTTTCGTTGAGTCTTGAAATCTGATCATAAAAGATTTATATTTTATAAACATTTTAGAAGAAATAATCAACACAGAAAATCAATGGTCAGGATTAGACAGGGGTCGTGAACATTCTAAAACGATAGAATTTGATACAAACAATCATTTTCTCTAAGATAATCTTTTCTAATTATCCAATTTGCAATAAACATATTATTAATGGCGTGTCTGGATAGAGATAAGGCTTCCACTTCCTCTGATTATTCCCATTTTCCCCATCTTTCTCATAACTGCTCCCTCTCTCTCTCTTTCTCTCAACTTTCCCTCTCTATATGTACAGGTATCGTTGCTTGTATAGTTCCGTTTGTGCTTGAAGAGGAATTTTTGGGGATTTCATCAAATGTCGTGTGTTGCGATCTACGACTCGCCGGAATCGGCTAGGTTTTCCTCAGGAGATCGGCGGTTTCTGGCGCCGAAGAGTTTACTAGGACAGAGAGAAGATGCCGAGGTTCAGAGTTCGTCATCTTCATCGTCGATTGGGAGGAATAGTGATGTCTCGTCGGCCAGAGGCTCGGTGGACGGTGATCAGAATAACGGGGATGGTGAGGAGGTGCAGAGCGAGTTCAAAGGACCGTTGGGTAGTTTGGATGCTTTGGAGGAAGTTTTGCCTATCAAGTATGTGTCTTTGTCTCGGTCTATGTCTCTGTGTGTGAATACCATGGTTTAAAGCACAATATTGGAATCTCAACTTCCACAACTATAGATCAAAAATCTCAATTTATACTTTTAAAGATAGAATTTTGTATCAATGTGAATCTCAAAGACAAAAATCTCAACTTGCACACTCCTTGGTACTAAATTGATAAATTATACCTAGATTTCCTCATATTTGTCACTTAATTATTTGACTCCCTTCACATTTAAAATATTATTCCTGTATCTCATAATATTTGTGCATGTATAATACGTAACCTCTTTCATTGATATTTGTTAATATAATCGTTAAAAAATATAATTTTATCTTAATAAAAAATTATAATATCCAATGGTAAACTTGATTTTGAAATGGGATAATATGAAATTATAATTTTTTATTAAGATAAAATCATATTTTTTAATTGTTATATTAACAGATATCAATGAAAAGGGATTACATATTACACATGCACAAACGTCACGAGATGTAGGAGTAATATTCTAAATGTGAAGGGTTCCAAATGATTAAATGACAAGTATAAGGGGATTTATGTATAATTTATCAATTTAATTTTAGGTGCACATTAATACAAATTACTATCTTTGAGGGTGCAAATTGAGATTTTTATCTTTGGAGGTGCACATTAATACAAATTTCTATCTTTAAGGGTGTAAATTGAGATTTTTAATTTTTGGGAGTACAAATTGAGATTCCCACCGTCTTTCGGAGTGTAACTTGCAATTAACCCATATATTATTCGATTTAGATTTTTTTAATACTTATCTATGTGAAATAAGGTTTCTTTTTTATCTATGTTTTTGTTTTTGTTTCTGTTTAATGATGAAAGAATACGAATTTCAGCATAGTGAAGATCTGTCGAAACATAGATTTGATGGTTTAAGTTATGAGAATCTTTGGAAAAGGATAGTCTTGTTGATTCTGTGGTCTTAAATGGAAATTATAAGAGGACAAAGCTTTGATTAATGAACTGCCCTAAGTGCATTTGATGGGGCAGACACCAATTTTCGCTGGCTTTTCGAAAAACTGAAATCTGATCTAGGGTTCCAAAATGAATGAAATTTATATCTTTGGAAGTGGTATAGAAAACCTAAAAAATGGTCACGAATTATTCCACTATGTTATATCCCATTGGCAGTGTAAAGATTTGAAGGGTGTAAATTTGTTTTGAATGAAGTTTTCATGAGTATTTTGGGGGAAATTTTTGTCTATCATATTTGTAAATCAAAAAAAGAAGTGGGTAAATTTATCAACAATTATGAATATTGGCAAGATCCATGGTTTGTATTTGCCGTGTGAGCTGTTTGAGTGAGGTTTCTTGCAAACGCTGAAGTGGTAGGTCTAGGGTTTAGGTCACTTTGTGACATGGTTGCATTTTTATCACTTTAAAAAATGCTAATGATTAATAGGAAGATTTTCAGTATCTAATGTAGTTCGGATTAACTATAAAATATTTGATGATTGAACATATAGATGGCCTCTCTATCTTTTTTGCTGTTTTTTCCAACCTGTCTCTAATTTTTATTTTTTGGCAATGTGATGTTTCACTTATTATAGGAGAGGCATATCAAACTTCTACTGTGGCAAATCAAAGTCTTTTACGAGTCTAGCAGACACTGCATCTTGTTCCACCATCAAAGATATTGTTAAGCCAGTAAATGCTTATACTAGGAAACGCAAGAACTTGCTAGCTTACAGTAATTTCTTCGACAAGAATCGTAATCACCTTTCAAGAAGTAATAGCGGTGGAATATCAAAGAGACCTGTCAACTCTAGTAGAAGTACATTGGCTCTTGCAGTAACCATGAGTAGTCCTGAGAGCGCTAGTAACAGCGAAAGCTCCAATTCACACTTATTGCTGCCTAATACGTGTCTTCCTCCTCTGCCCCCACACAGTAGAAGATCACCTGACAAAGAATCATCTCCATCACCGCCAGCACGAAGTTTCTCCCCATGGCGATCTTTCTCTCTATCTGATCTGCAATGTGCCGTTGGGGCAACTCCCAGCATCACTGGCTTAGTGATTAATAACCAAGTCAAGGAGGAGAACATTCATTGACATCTGGCTTGATTTTTTCTGTAAAATCATCCAATGAAACCAAGATGGATGGGTGTTCATGGTGCGTGGGAATGAAAAGTATAATCTTGGGCAAACAATTCTTGTCTTTGGCGTTCTTTATAAGCAGTTCCTACGTTGATCTTGCACTTCTGCCCATTGTACATCTTGTTTTAAATGTACCACGATTGACAATTGCAGTATATAATGGCAGTGATCTTAACCTTTTTTTTTTTGCCTCGCCTAACTGTTATGAATTTTGTTGAATGCTTCCTTTGTATAATCCAAGAGAGTACATAGTTGTTTTTCCTCCTTTCACATCGTCTTGAAATGTTTTTGATGAAGTCAAATATATTGCCCAAGGCAACTGATTAATGTGTCACAAACTGATTGTATGGTTATATGATTTACCATCCACTTCGGCATTTCTTACTTGTGCGTGCTGAGTGAATTAAGAACTTCAGCATGTCTCGCAGCCTTTATAATCCTCGTTAGGTCTACCAATCCAAATCAGTTTGGTGGTTGACCATGATGCACAGTGGCCGCTGTGGCCTAGTATAAGGTCTTGAAAAGTATTTGGTGCAGTGTGGCCTCTCTCTCTCTCTCTCTCTCTCTCTCTCTCTCTCTCTCTCTCTCCCGCGATCAGCTTGTGTAGAGATTGTATTGCCATATATGATCTAACCACATTGTTAAGTGATAGCATGTCGAGAGATTGTTTTTGGTGCAATATTTGGCAGCCGCTTCTCTGAAAATCAGAGGCAGCTTCAGCTGCTATTGAAAAAGATTCGCAAGCAATTTTGCGGTAGTAAGAAAAAGCTGGCCGAAAAACAGTTTATCAATTATCAACTTAGTATCTCTTTAGAAGTAGACATTGCTCCCTAGTGCTTAGAAAAAGCTTGGTGGAGCTCATAAGATTGTTTTTGGCCTTTGTAGCTGCTCTTTCTTCAGCAAGTTTCGGTGCTGACCTGAGCACTTTTCTTGCTTATGCTTACAACCCATTCTTCTGGCCTTGTGCTTTCCCCTGCAAAAGTAGTAAGAAATTCAAAAGATTTTCATCTATAGTATAGATTAAATGAGAAATCAGAGTCTATACTATCCATAAAATTAATCACATTGCTATATGAGAAATCACAACTAATGGATCGATGTGTAAATCACATATTGAGAAATTACTTAAGATAGTTATCACTTTTCCATCTGATGTCTCCCTCTCCCTCCACTCCTCTAGTGGAACTGTCTCTCTAATGTACTCTGTGTTTCCTCCCCTCTCCACATCAAAACAGATCTAAATCATAATTTACATCATATGTGGAAATTGTGAAATCAAAATTTTTACACCGTATGTGAAAATAAATCTTCCAATTGTAGGGGTTGGATAAAGTGGATTAAGCTCAACTTCTGGATCTGAGGCCTCAATTAATTGTTATAATACATTCAAATTCCCGATAAGCCCCAAGCTTTTGGGAAACCATATTTTGTATGCCAAAAAATTGGAACAGAGATAATCAAACAATAATGACAGCATTTGTCGTTTCTACGGTAACAAACTCTTGAAAACTTACTTTAAACATCAATTGTAGACACACTTTGGTGGACGTCAACCTTATTTACTAGGATTTCCAATACTTGGGGTGTTATTACAAACAAAATGAACGACATGAGATAACAGTAATCAAAAGTATTCGTAACAAACTTATGAAACTTTTTACCAAGCATCATACTATAGACAGATCTATATGTTTCAACCTTATAAAAATGCAGTTTTGTTGTAAACAAAATCAGACAGAATAACAACACTTGGCTTACATTAATGAACAACTTCTTTAAGTTAGCGATTCAATAGATAATCTGAACAAAATTGAGGTACGTCATTTTCTACGATTATTTGCACCAGAACTTCACATTATATGTCAAATAACAAATGAAACTAGGACCATAGTCCTTATTCTATTCCAAGCCACAACACTCTACTGATATTTGGACCTCATCTATTGGAGGCTTTGAATATTGGAATCAGCCACTGAAGTGAGAATTAACCAAATTCATAATAGTTGAAGTGCATAGTTGAATTTCAGGTGATTTTTAATCTACGAGCACATTTAAAGCTGGTTACATGAGTTTCTTTGATGTGGAGAAAACGGAAGAGGTACATGATCACCAGCTAGATAGCAATAACTCATTGTAGGAGTTTGGCATTTAAATGCTCAATAGATTCCACATCCAAAATAGACTGTGTGTGTGTGTGTTTAGGTTGGAGGGAAAAGAGATTTTGAACCGAGGCGAAAGCGTTACAACAACTTTTGACTTATTATAAGTAGCCAAGTTATGTAATGGTAAATGGACTGGCAATTTAGGTAGCTATTAGAGCTCTTTGATTCCTTCGCCCCTCGTCATGTTGGACGTGTGTTAAAGTTTTTCAGGGCCAGATACTTCGTGGGCAGAAACGGAAAAGTTACGAATGAATCCAATGGGGATTACCATAACCCCATTCAAAAACATTAATTATAACCAACTAAAGATAATAACTTTCTGAAAAGGATTCCAAATCCATTATTACACTTCAGTGGATTAGTAAAACATTGATAAGAACAACTTCACAACTTTTATATCACCCTCTGTGTGCATAGCGTGATGCATTTCCTATAAATTGGCTGTGTTTGAAGACTTGGTTGCAGGAAAAGATGAATGCTTAAAGAAAAGAAATCCTTTCAAAGAGCTACCTTCAGGTTTGTTTTTGCTTGCTGTATATATGTGAGTTTTATATTATTTTTTCATTTTCACGGTGATCAGATGGACTTGTAACCTACAAAACCTACTACAAGGATGCGAAGATTTGCAAGAGAAAATAAGGGGGTCCATTTTCTTTGGGCTCCATGGATGCTTTTTGACTGATTTCTTGAAGCCACCTCTGTAATCTAGGGATTTAGATGCCAAACCATGAGATAGTCACTCTTATATAGATGGATTGGCTTACTTGAGCAAATTCAGAGGTTTGGTTTCTTTCCCCTCTTTTTGTGCCCATCCCCATAAGTGTGGTGAGGACTCATGCATACGTATCAATTTTGCTAGGATTAACATGTCGACCAGAAGACATTACGGATTTTGGTACTCATGGTACATTCTATTTTTCATTCAAACCGATTCACAGCCTTGGATATGCAGCTACCACTCTTATTTCCTACTCATTTTTCCTAAATTTTTTACCATTCAGTTTTTGAGATTTCCTGGTGATTTTGATGGTCAGAATTTTTGTGTAAGCAGGTTTTGATATCATTTGGCAGTCTCTCCGGATCAGGGCAGTTATGCTTCTTGTGATGGATTCATCATCTCTATTCATTTCACCAGAGGATTTCGTTCTTTTTCATGCAATGGACAGGGAGCTTTACACCCTCCTTGTAACCAACATTTTGCGTGACCCTGTGGAATCTATGCAGACCATGGCCCTATGGCTGTGGTTGGAAAGAGCTGGCTGCAACAATGTCATAAAAAAGATTTTGTCCTTACCCCATGTTTTAATAAATGAACTCGCAGATGAGGCTGTAACATGCCTCAAGTGCATCAGTAACACCCAGTTTCTGTTGTCATCCTCCGAACCCAAAGAGATTCCACTGACACACAGCCTCATGAAAAAAGAGATTTCTCTTCAATTTTTTCATGAAAACCGGCTCAGTGCAAAGGTTGGGGTTGCCAAAATTGTAACTGATGTTTGCATCAAGGCATTTACAGACATATTGCAAGAAGTCATGCGGAGAAATGTTGCACAAAACTTGGGCAAAAGCCCGATGACAATGGTGTCCCCTGTTGTTGACCATTCCTTGGTTTATGGCTTTGCTCAGTTGGGACTTGGAGTTGATACCAGCCAGGGAAGGACACAAGTTAATGAGGTTCCACCGGATGACAGGACCATGTTTGTCACATTTTCCAAAGGCTATCCGGTAGCTGAAACTGAAGTCAGGGAGTTCTTCACAGCAATATTAGGGGACTGCATAGAGTCTCTCCACATGCAAGAGGTGAAACCTGATGAACAATCTCTTTATGCTCGAATTGTGTTCTACACGCCTTCTGTTATAGATCTGATTCTCAAAGGGGTGACAAAGGCCAAATTTACTATCAATGGGAAGCATGTTTGGATGCGGAAATTCGTGCCAAAACGCTTGGGCTCCTCACCGCCGCTGCCTCTTCTGCCATAGAATTTGCCAGGAGCTGTCTATTTCTTTTCTGTGTGTTTTTGTTCCTCTGCTTGATAGTACTCGTTTTCAATAGGTAACAAGCGAAAAGTCTACTGAATGGACATTGTTGTAAAGCCATTAGGTAACAGCCTTGTTTTCACTTTGCAACCAATAAAAGTCTACTGATGGCCACTGTTGTAAAGCAAATTTCCAGTCTTAAAAAATAAAATTTTAGGTAGCTTAAACTCGGCAGAAATAACATTTTCGTATATAGCATCGAGTAAGCAGAAAATCAGTATGCATTAATGTGGCTTATCTATGGTGGGCTAACTTTAAATCTACATGGAATAAGGCCAATTACTGTTTGGATTTTTGGATTAAATCTTGTGGTTTCAGAACACTTCATGAGACCATACCATATTTGGAGATGGAATATTATTTATATCTGCTAAGTGCGTTCACATTGGGGGTCATTGTTGATGCTAAGACAACAAAGGCATATGCATGACTATCCGCAGCCATCACTGCATTTATCTATATAATAAAATACTCCCTCATTTCCTAAATATATGTCGTTTTACACAATTTTTTTTGTTCCATAATATCTGTTGTTTAATGAAACCAAAGTATAATTAATATTTTTTTTTCAAATTTACCTTTAACTTTTCAATGCATTAGATTAGGTGGAGGCTAAGTGTCTTTCATATTTTTTTCTTTCCCAATACGTATTGAATAAGGGTATTTTAGTCTTGTGTAATTATTTTTTACTTATATTATAGCTATTTTATAATTTCTTTAATCCCTGTGCAAAAACCTTAAACGACAGATATTTAGGAACAGAGGGAGTAGCTTACAATTCAAATCTCAAAAGATAAATAAAATGAATTTTGTTATTCGTGGTTTAGATCGCTTTAAATTTTATTTTAAAGTTAATCTTACGTCTAATATTAATACCCTAAATTTAATTTGAAAAATAGGGTTCTAATGGTGTGTTTGAAATGACTTTTTAAAAGTATTTTAAGAAATTATTTCTTATAAATACTTTAAAAACAAATAGTGTTTGAAACAGCCCCATTACTACGTCTATCACCACCACCACCGCCATTGTCGCCGCCGCCACCACCACTACCACCGCTACCGCTACCGCCACCCACCTCCACCATCGCCACTACCACCATCGTTGTCACCACCAAAACCATCACCGTCTCCTACCACCATGTCTCTTACCTTCACTATAAACCAATGTTTAAATTCTTTTATCTTTTCTCTATATTTGTGATTTGATTTTGAAGATGAATACAAATATGTTTATTGTTTATAATTTTTTATTATTTTGTGTCTTCAGATACAGACAATAACTAGTTCTCTTATAATGTGTCCATGTTCAATAAATCACTATGTATTGAAGAGAGTGAATTTGTGAATCTATCTAGCCAGTATAAGTATAAAATGTAGTAATACCATAAATGGATTTCTTTCAATTTTTTCTTAACTTGATTTTGCGGTTAAATGGCATACGAAAGTAAATTCATTCGCAATTCATTTTTTGCTTTATCTATCTGGCCAATGTAAACAATTTTGTGACTCGTGAAATTAGATCTTCGATTTCACTTGCCTGTTCAAGCTCCCTTTCTCCAATTTACAAGCATCGATAACGGGTGAGTCTCGACTGAGTTGATTGAAAGGAATTTTAAATCAGTTTGTCCATTTTAATGTTAACTATTGTAGTACAAAGCGGTTATTTTTTCAAACTCAATTTAAAAGCCAATGGATCATCAGAATCTTAATATGTACAAAGACGAGATCATGAAAATCTGTAACACTTTAAAGAGCAATGATATGTTATACAAATATTTGTCCAAATTTTATATTCCAAATTAATTCAGGTGGTTAGATTAGTGAAGTCTATTACTTCCACCCAATGTTATCAGAACCGGACCGGTCATCGAACCGACAAGAGGACCGAGTCAATAGTTCACTGATTCAACCGTTTGGTCAACTGATCGGACCGGTCATATAATAAAAAAATATATATAATAATTATAAAACTTAATAATTTGGCTAAAAAATATAAAATATGTATAAAATACATATAATTTGCCATATAATTAATGAAATTAAGTAACAAAGTAGGGGTTATTGTATTTTAAAGCAAAGTAAAGAGGTTCAAGTAAATTATAAAGAAAAAAAAGGGTGTCATTTATAATTTATCCAAGAATAAGGTTAAAAAAAATCAGCTATTTACTGATTTAGGACAAAAAAAATTATTTATGTAATTTAATTTTTAAATGTCCGATTTTTATAAAACCCCGCCAATTCAAGTTTTTTGTTAAAAATCGACCGATTTTTTGATTTTTAGTCGGTTCAACTAAAGAACTGGACTAGTTAGGGTCCCACTTCATGGTTGAACTGGTTTGACCGGCCGGTCCAATTTTGATAACACTATTTTTACCAAATATTCAATGTATAAGATTTTGACACATTAATTGAGATACAAAATTTGAACAACAATTTGTGCAGCAAAGTTTTATCCCACTTTAAAACCAAATGGAGGCATTTCTGCATCACTCGAGATTAATAGAGTCCCACCCCCAACCTAGCCGTTGTGATTTGTGTCCCTCAACGGCAACATCCGCTCACTATAAAAATTCAAAATTTTTCATTCTAATTCAAAGCAAAACCATCTTCTCTCTCCATTTCTCTGGTCCAAACACTTTAACATCAATCCAAGAAGTCCTCAAATGGCTTCCACTAAGCTCCGAAGATCATGTTCCTTTCCAAATCTTCTACTCTCGTTCTTGAATTTCATCCTCTTTATCCTTTCTGCTCTCTCTCTTGCCCCTATTATTGTCCTCAAAACGCCACCAACTTCACTGGGTTGGGCATTTCTGATGGTCTCCAGCATCTCCCTTCTCTCCTCCTCTGTGGGTTTTTATTCTCAGCTCACCCACTTTTGCTTCATAACTCATCTTTCCCTCCTCCTCGCCTCATCGATCGGGCAGTTACTTGGTATTTTAGCCTTGTTTACAAAAGAGAAATCTAGTCTTTCTATGTTAGAGTCACCAAGAGACCCAAAAGAAGCAAAGCTTTTGGTGAGGTTGGAATGTGGAACTTTGGTGTCCATGTTTGTAATGCAATTGGGTGTTTTGATACTGACTTGTGCTGTTCATAGCTGTTGGGTGAGAGAGTATGAGGGTTTAGAAGCTGAGAGAGAGGCGATAGCAAGGAAGAGGAGTCGGAGGATTGCACGAGTGCAGGAAGAGTCCATGGAAAATGCAACAAAGATTGGTGAGATTAAAGCAAAGGAGCTGGATGAGAAGATGAAAGGCAAGTATGGGCAATGGGTGAAGACTGATTTTGAAGGCTAAAGACTCTTCCTATCCTTGTTAGTAGCTATATGCTTTGTTTGTTCTGAGTGTGCTTTTTGTTGGTACAGTGATGGCTGTACTTTTTAGGGTCACTATGGGGTGGCCATTCCATTGGATGTGTAAAGTAGAGAAGAGCCTGTCTTGTTTACAAATGGCGGTTCTGTGGATGATGTTATTGTCACTGTCACTGTGGGGTCTGTGAGTGGTGTCTCTGATAAGTAATGGAGTTTACCTTCTATTTTCCCAAAAAAATTGATTAATATAAGACCATTGGAACACTAACTCAATTACCAGCAATTCAATTATGTGCTTAATAAAAGTCTGTAAACCAACACCCCGAAAATTCATTTAAGTATAGGCTAGATCATTATGTCTTATTTTCTTTTACCTCATAATCCACTAAATGGGAATTATCAAGGGATGGTCCATAATAACTCTGATTTATTGCCAGGTAAGTTCTGCTCCTAATGAGGACCACATGTCCTACTCTGATAACAATATCCTATTGCTTTATATAATAGCCTCCAATAGTTTCACTTCCAAAAGATGTGTTCCAGAGCTTACTGCTTATCTCACCACATTCAATTTTCCCCTCACAAAAGAAGAGACCACTCTTCAACCAGAAAAAGACAAATATAAGTTATGGCTGTTATTGTCCCATGTTGATTGTTGAGCTAGATCACAATTCTAGATATGATTTGTAAATTTGATACGAAGTTGATTAAGTATTGGTGGATTTGGGAACAAACTTAGCAGGTTAACGGTTAAACCCATCAGCCCTCTCTTAAATTAATGGGTGGAGTCAACCCCGGCTGAACAATTAATACAAATCCGAAAATACATGATCATTTATAGATTGAACAACCTTAAACATAGCAGAATTTACAAGTTTACGAACACAAACCACCCATTAATAGTCGTGATTCAGTATGAATCTTTTTGTATCTTCTGTCAGTATTCAATTTGTAGAGTGCCTCAATGAAGGATGTGAAGACAGTACTAGTTTATGCTTGAGGGAGTGTCTTCTACATATCATTGCAAGACAAACCAATGAAGTTTTCACAAGAGTGGAATCTTAATGGCAAACCAATTTGGAGTTGCGGAGGTAGAATCTTAATGGCGACAATTGGGATGCACAGACCTGGGTTCCTGAAAACTTCATGCTATGGAATGAGAAATCGTCACAACTTTCATAGAATTTCTGCTTTTTGGACTATGTGAGTTTGTGTCATTGGTTATTGTCATGATTTGTGAGCTTTAACGTTTCCCCAGCATTGATGATCTTTACAAATCAATCCCCCTCAGAAATATTGTTTGTTAGTCCATTATTTTTTCTTAACATAACTATATTTTTAAAATTTTCCATTTCCTTAAATTGCTATGTTTTGGGTCCTCCAAGGAGACTAAGAAGCAAAATATCATATTCTACTTGCCCTTTTCATAAATTTAAGGTTGGTTTATGGGAATTGCTAAGCCCATATCTTCCAACAGGACAATGAATTCCAAATCTTCCCAGAAGAGGGAATATGAGGAGTTCTCAATTAAGCTTCGGGAACACTTTGTTTCTGAGATGGAAACACTGTGTCCATCCAATCTTCAATTCGACAGGCTGCAGCAATTGGATCAAGATCTCATTCCACAGAACAAAATTGAGTTCGGACAGTTTGTGGTGCGTAAAGCTGCAGACGAAGAAGAATTATGGGTCAGCAATGTATTCTTTTTGTTTAGGATACAATCTAGTTATCTAAAATATGAATTTTTCATGGTTTTTTCAGTTTTAGTCATAGCTAATTTGTGGTAGTAGCTGTGTTATGTTTTATGAAGTAGGCAGCAGCATGGCTCAGAGCAGAAAGTCACTGGGAGGATCGGAAAAATGACCGGTATGCACCAAACATTGAACCAAATTTTCAAATGCACATTTAAGTTCTTCCATTCAAGATAATATAAAGGCAGTCCCTTCTAGGAAAACTCAATAATGGCTCACCACCAATAAGAACAAATGGAGCTTACATGCAGAGAATTGATTTCATCTGAATAGAAAGTGATGAGCATGCTGATTAAAGCAATAAGAGTTGTTTGGAGAGATGGCTCCAAACTGTTTCCCTTCATTATTGTTGTCACGTGTAGAAGGGAAATAGAGAATGACACTAATCTTGGCTCTGCTTAATATCATAGGTATGTTGATAGCTTCAAAAGGAAATTTGCAGAGCAGGTATGAGTCATGTTGCATCTTATTTGAATTGGTCGTTAGTCAATATGCATAAGGGAGTAATGTATCAATCGTGACTAATAACGTTGATTTCTTCATCTCCATAGGAATTCACCGCATTAAGAAGGCGATGCAAGGCACAACTTGGGCATAAATGCACCTGCATTGTGACGGTATTCTTTTATTGGAGACTATTGTTCTATTTCATTTTTATTGTCCAAATTTTATTTTTTTTTAATTAGGATTACAGGTTTGTTCAATATTCCATAGATGATGCACATGCATTGCAACAAATTTTTAATATCAGTGCTCTTCAAAATTATTAGATAAAGGAGGAAGAGAGAAACGTGAAGCATACCGTATTGAAGAACGTATTTGGAACCCTAGATTTGATCATCCAACAGTTGCTGGACGAAGAGACCTTTCATGGGGTATCAAAATGTGTTCTGTTTGATGAATATGAATTTCAAGAGTTGATTCATGAACTTATGCGTATAACTAGTGCTTTTGCTGTCTGGAATTGGAATTCTATCCTTTGACAGGAACAAGTAAAATCCCCTCTCTTCTGCAGCACAAATGGAAAAGGTAACAACAAATATGGTTACATTGCAAACTTGTGTGTTGCCAAATCAGCACGTCGCCTGGGTATTGCGAGCAGCATGGTTCGTTTTGCCATTATAACAGCCAAAACAAATGGTGAGATAAAAACTTCCATCAATCCCCTGAGGATTCTCAAAAGCAGCAGAAATTTTTCTTCTGAATCTGACTTCGTGGAGCAGGTGCAGAGCAGGTGTTTGTTCATGTTCATAGATATAACAGACCTGCACAGGAACTGTACCGCAAGATAGGCTTTGAGGTATTATGAATGCAGTTACTTTGTGTTCCTCACTTCAGTTGGTCAATTTCTGTTTTTATAAGGAAGTGCTGATGCTGCTTTTACACTCTCCTTCAGGTGGTCGAAATGGCAAGCCCGCAGTTGTCAGAAGAGCAAACTTACTTGCTTCGCTTCAGGGCATAATCAAAGAAAAAACATTGCAGGACAGAGCTTAAAGAACTTATCCAGAAATTTGGGTAAACTACTAATAAGTTGTTTACAGAAAGTCTAGAGCACTAACGAGTCAACAAGAATAAGCATAAGTTGCCAAAAGAATGCAGATGATCAGAAGAGAGAAAGATAATTTCATTGATTTAAACGTCTTCTTTTATGAGTAATGCGGGTCATTATGCACATCATCTCTGAATAACTTAACTGCATTAATTAAATGATGAATCCCTTGTAGGTGGTTTGCATCCAATAAAAAGTGAGCTAATGCTTGAACATATATACATGCATTACCCTCACGCTTATCATCTCAGTTAGCTGCATTAACTATGTGATGAATTCCTTGATGATTTATTCACAAGTTTCATGAATCTAGCTCTTACGTTTTCATTTTCATATTTTTCTTAGAAATTTCCTGGTCTTTTGCTTGTAATGGAGTATAAGAATATGTAAAAGAAGAGAAACAAAGGAAAAAAATCTCTATAAATCATGTATAGACAGTGATTCAGACATACAAAAGAGAAAGAACATGACTCCAACAAAGCAACCTAGTGGAACTTACAGCTGTGAGAAACAGAAGTAGACTCCAGCATTTAGGTTTTTTATCATTTCATCTCCCACAAACCTTCATATCTGGGGATCACATTTGCAATTAACTTGAATCTATCCCTCAGTCTTGCATTGACACCGAAAGGCATCACAACATTCTTACTTGCTGGTACAATACTAGGTATTCTATAAATTTATCATATATGACTAGAAGGGAAAGGGCACTTGTGTTATGATGCAAGGGTTCTACTATATCTCTTGATGGCTCATTGTGAACTGATATTATTTACTGTCCCTTCCATTCTAGTTTAAAGAACACCTCCAAAATCCAGTACTTATATGCTAGATAGTCCATATGAATTTGGCATTTTGATTAATTAGCTACCTTTTCCTTTCAAATTCCAATCATCTACTCTTTTAAATGTGCAGAAAACTGCACACAATGCCTTTGAAAGTTGTAACACAAGGAGCGATGGACGCCACTAAAAAAGGCAGTGAAAATGTTTTCAACCTCATCTATCAGAGATGACAGACTATAAGCAATGTGCAACACTGCTTACAGATGATTCTGGGAACAATATCTTGCATTTAGGTAGAAGATTGGCACCTATACATAAACTCAGTCTTGTTTCTGGCGCGGCTCTTCAGATGCAGCGTGAGTTACAGTGGTTTAAGGTGCTGGCTTTGTTCTTATTCTAAAGATCCATTAATGTTGATTCCCTTCTCTGTGAGCCTTCAGTGCTGCGCTTGATCTTGTGTTAGGTCATAAAAAGGCATGGATCCTTGTGCCAATGGCTGCATTAGCCTGTTTACCCGTTACTTCATATGCGTCTCTACAATTCCCACTCCTAGTTGATGTAATCTCCTCGACATATAGCCGTGTGTCACGGGGTAACACTTAGTTTTTTTTTTTTAGGCTACTTGTGAAGGCATTGCCACTGCAATCAACAACACACAACGTCAAGAACAAGAACAGAAACTCAAATACAAAGACACACATATTTACTAGAACAACACTTCCAAACTTTATATATTGAACTCAATACAATTTGCAAGGAAACTCAGCAAAAATATTCTCTGTCTAGCAGAAAGTCCAAGTACTCTTATTTATACAAGGAGTATGGTAGATGACACTTCGATCTGTCAAAGGATAGTTACACACATTCTGCTATTCCATAGCAAATTTGGTCAACAAGCATGTTCTCTGTGTGACATCTGACACGCAGTTCAACCCATTTAGTAACTGACGTGGAATTGTCTCTTATCATCATATATCTAGACCAGATTAAGGCTAGGGATGCCCAGAACTACTTCCGAGTGACTAAGCCTTGTTCAGCAACTGTTTTGACTAAGTCTCAACTTCTGCAACTGTCCACATCTTCCTAGTCACATGCATTAAGCAGTCATGTGTCAGTTATGTGCCCACATTCAGTAGTCAACCTTACCTCACGAAATATTGTACATGCTGGGTTCAGCCTATACCATACAATTAGAAGCTATGAACCCACATTGTCTTAATTGAGCCAACCACGTACTGTCATGCTCAATCGGGTAGTCTCATGCTGTCATAATTCGCACCAATATGTTAAACTGTTTAGCCGCATCACCTTGATTCAATCTCATGGTGTGCCTTGGTACAAGGTACCACCAAGACTGCCATTATGCACCCAAGTTAGTTAAGGTGTAACACCGTGGTATGTTTGGTAAATAGAGTGAGCATCCCTCTATTAATTCAACAAAATAGTAGAAATTTTGAATATTAAATCATCAGGTATAGGCACGAGAAACAGGGTGGCTCAACAATATTTGAGGCCTAAAATAATGACAGCTAATGAGAATTTATATTTTAATAATAATTTAATTTTTTATTTAAAATATATTATTTTTACTTTTTGATGAGATTCAAAATTGCTAATGATTTTTTTATTCAAATTTTGCTAATTTTTTTGATTAATAATATATTTTTTGATCATAAATATTTATATGAATAAAATTAATTTCTTTATTAATATTTTTATATTTGTTTAATATGTTCTTTATCGAAACTATAGTATTAGATGATTGACCTTATTATAAATAGATTTATTGTTATATTTCTTTTGGATTATTTTGCTGTCTTTGAATTTTACTTATTTATCTATACAACTTTCACCTAAATTTTTGTTATATGTTATTTGTTACGAAAAAGAACTTTATCAAAAAATTTTTTTAATAATAATAAATGGTTTAATTGGTGTTTTGCATTCAAATGAGAAAAAAAAAAACAAGTTTAAGAGAAATAGAGAATGTATTTGATTTGAATTTTTTTTTTTTACTAAAGAGAGATACTTATTATATTTCTTTTGATAAGAAAAATATATGAATTTTATCAATACCTTTTTTTTTGTTGATATTTTGTTGTCCTTTAATAAATGTGATTGTGTGAAGTAGTCTGGACTTTTGGGCCTAAATTTTAATTTTTTTTGTTGATTTACTCTTTTAAAAATAATTTTGTTAGGTTATATTGTAGTAATTTTTTTTTGTTAACTTATATTACATTATTGATCTTTAAATTTATAGATTTTTTCATATGTGGGGCCTAAAGCCTACTATTTTATTTTTACACTATAGGGCGGCCATGATGAGAACCGCAAAGTGAATGGTACGAATTATTTACCAATTTATGATATTTTTTAAAAGCGGATTTAAGAAGTTGCCAGGGCACCGAGGTAATGATCAAGAAGAAGAAGAACAACAACAACATTAAACTGTTACTTGTGGATTTGTTTACACTCTTTAACATTCTTGTAAATTATTTCGATTTGAGTTTAGCCTTACAAGGTCGGTGGTAAAAGTAGTGGACTGGCTATAATAATTGACACAAATTATCATTTTTTTTTATTTATAAAAAAATTATAATAAGTTCTGGACCAAAATCAATAAATTATCATTCACTTTTTTGTTATAATAATTGACATAAACATGACAATAAGTTGCGTTTTCAGATAGAAAAGTGAATGACTCTTTTTGTTTGAGTCACGTTGTAATTTTTTTTTTTTTTGATATTAATGGTGTAATTCGAGAATTAAAATAAATTAAATTTTGAATATCTTTTAACGTGGAAAATAAGACTAACCCCTTGATTTATTGAAGTTTTTAGATGGATGGTGTATTTAGTTTAGAGAAGAAAAAAGAGAATGGGAATAATATATAGTTTTGATAAAAAAGAAAAAAGAAAAAAAATTGTGTTAATTGTACGAGGAGATTCCTTAAAGTATATCTCGTTTGACTCGTTTTGGTCAATAATATTTTAATTATATAATTTTGATCAGTAAAGTATTGAATATATTTTTATATAATTCTTCAAGATAACATTTAAATTTATAACGATTTTTTATCATAAATTTGTCGCGTGATAGTTAAATATGAACAAAAAATAATTTGAATATGTGTAATATGAGTAGTTCTTGACCAAAATTTAAATATGTGTAATATGAGTAGTTCTTGACCAAAATATGATAACTCTCGATCAAAATTGTGTAATTAGCTCTTGATCAAAACTCTGTAATTTAGAAAACTCTTTGATTGAAATTTAATCAAGAGTTATACAAAATTATTATTTTTCTCATATTTATGTATTACACGACAAGTTTATAATAAAAAATTATTAATAATTTAAACATTATCTGTTTAAAGGAACACATAAAAATATATTTAATATTTTAAAAATTAAAATAATATAATTAAAATATTAAAAACTAAAATAAAACAAATCTCATTATTAGAGCACTTTCGGTGCAATTAAACCAAAAAAAAAAAACCAATAAATCAATGTTATCAGAACGGGACCGGACCGGACCGGTTCAACCGTGAACCGGGACAAAAATCGATCCGGTGCTTTAGTTGAATCGCTTAAAGATACGAACCGACTAAAAATCAGAAAATCGGCCAATTTTTAACTAAAATCGTGAACTGTCGATTTTATTAAAATCAGACGGTTTAATGCCTATTTAAAAATTAAATTACATAAATAATTTTTTTACCCTAAATCAGTAAATAACTGATTTTTTTTAACCTTATTCTTGAATAAATTATAAATAATACCCTTCTTTTTTCTTTATAATTTACTTGAACATCTTTATTTTACTTTAAAATACAATAATTCTCACTTTATTATTTAATTTTGTTAATTTTTTGACAAATAATATGTATTTTATATATTTTATATTTTTTAATTAAATTATTAAATTTTATAATTATTATATATATATTTTTTATTTTTTTATTATATGACCAATCCAACCAATTAACTCAATGATTAAACATCTTTATCGATTTGATAGCCGGTATTGATATCATTGCAACAAATAGTTTGACTCATAACTGAAAGCAACGTCGAAACCGTAGTCAAGTCTTGACGGGCTGGTGTTTTTTACCAACTCTTGACGGTTGCTGTCTCTCTGTCTCTCTCTCTCTCTCATTCGGCGAACGCTCTGTTTGTGTTTTTCTCATACACTTGGAGGTCAACCCGAGCGAGAATGTATTCCTCAAGCACTTCCTCGATTCTGCAGTACCCATACCCATCAACGGTTAACGTATCAAACTTCGTCTCCATTAAGCTCACTGAATCCAACTACCTTCTGTGGAAAGCCCAGATCTTTTGTCTCATCGAGAGTCAAGATTTTCTTGGATTTATCGATGACACCAACACAGCACCAGCTGAGACGGTCAGTGTTCCAGATGAAAGTTCAAGCGATGGGAGGAGGCAGGTTGTGAATCGGGATTATCTGATTTGGAGAAGATCTGACCGGCTTTTGAAAGGATGGATTTTGGGTTCCCTCAGTGAAAATGTACTGAGTTCTGTGGTGGGCTTGAATACTGCCAGAGATGTTTGGTCGAAGCTTGAATCCTCTTTTTCCGACGACTCCAAGATCCTACAAGTTCAGCCGGAGAGTTCTACGACCACCAAAGACGGTATGGTTCCTAACCCATTTTACATTGTGTCACAATGTTCATGACTGTCCCAGAAATTTAGTCGATGGGGGCCGAAATGTACAATTTGTTTATCATCAATTGAAAATCATATATTTTTTTTATATGTTATTATTTATTTCGTGAGTATTACTGTAATATATAGAATGCGTTTTTTTAAAGAAAATATTTTGTGCTTCTTTTTTTTTTTCTTATAGTAGTTCTTACAGATCCCCAAAAAATAGTTGTTCTTATTGATAATACATCAGAAAATACGTTATCATTGTAAACTAACAAAATAAGGATGAAGAATTAGTATACATATGATGCAGTAAGTTATGTCAATTGTTGAAGAATACAATGTTTTAGTCAAAATATTGGAAGATTCTCAAACAAGAAACTGATTGAGAGTTTGTATGAGAAATTATGGCCCTGATTCATTAGACACACTTACTAGTCTCTTGTTGGACAACCTGAGGTCCTAACTTGAGTCTGAAAGCTGGCACTTCTACTCAGAAATTCTTCATTCATGCAGTGTGCATGTCTTCTACCGTGGATGTATTTGGCTTTTAGCTTTAAGTCCTATTTCTCTTTGTGCGAGTGTCTCTCTCTTTTATTCATATTAAATTTTTCTTTGTCATTACTACCACTGATCAGTGTTATTATTATAATTTTTTCCTTTTGGACCGCATGCAGCAACTTCAGTAACATATACGAGTGTTTGTACAATAGGAATTGAAGATCACATTGGTCTTCTTTGCAGAATCTAAAGCAGGACAGAAAGATCGAAGCTGGTACGTACCCCTTTACGTAGCTGCACTTAGAGGTGACTGGGAGAGCGCCAAAAGATTCATGAAGCAAGATGAAGCTGCAGCCACAGCTAGGATCACTGCACTCTCGTCGACAGTCCTACACGTTGTGGTTGGAACTGGGAAAACAGTTCACTTTGTGGAGAAGTTGGTAAAGTTGATGCCAACTGATGCACTGGCTCTGCGTGATGATTATGGCAACACAGCCCTTAACGTTGCTGCTGTTGTGGGAAACACAGAGGCTGCTGTGATCCTGGTGAAGAAAAACCCAGCTTTGCTTCATATTAGGAACAACACAGGATTCTTACCAGTCCACAGGGCAGGTCTCAATGCTCATAGGGACACCCTTTTATATTTGTTAACCATCCACAAAGATGACATAGAACCTGGACCTTTGGCAGACCAGTCTGGTGTTCAACTTCTTGTTAGTGTAATTGATTCCGGATTCTTCGGTGAGTGATATTCTAGCTACTATTTAAGTCCATGCTCACTTGTTGAATAAAACAGAAAAATGTAAACAAACTATTCATACACAGAAATCAGCTATTTTTTTTATGATTCCATTAAATTTTGCAGATGTGGCATTAGATTTGGTTCAGCACTACCCTAGCATGGGTACAATGAAACTAAAAAATGGTGACTCTGGATTGAAAGCAATAGCTAGAAAGGCATCTGCATTCCCAAGTGGAAGTTGTCTAAGCTTTTGGGAGCGCTTGATTTATTCTTGTTAGTTTCTCACTACTATTTCAATGTTGTCATTGGTCTTTTCCTCTTTACTTGAGACTACTTGAGGATCGTCAGATTACTTAGTCAATCCATGATGCAGAACACGTGATGAGATTTTTGACATTTGTTTCAAACGTGGTGAATGCCTTTTGAATGGGGCTAGTTATTTTTAACTAAGTTCACTTTGGAAATTTTAGGATTTTTTGATTCATTCCCTAATTTAATCAGGAATCTACTTTATTTTGTTTCCAAATTTATTTAGAATTTTATTTTATTTTATATCCAAATTCAATTACTATTCTAGATTATTTTGTTTCCTCTTTTGATTAGGGTTCTGGAATTTTAAATAGCTAATTCTGTAACCTCTTGAATGGGGCTCTGGATTATGGAGTAAAATAAGAAGGTACTCTCTTTTTGGTATTCTTAGGGATCAACAAAGTCATTGAAGAACCGTAATCTGGTATTATTGAGATGATCAATAGATTAGAGTTTCTGTTTAATCCGGATTTCATCTGTTCATACTTCCATGCACCAATCCACCATATGGAACTATGGAGACTAGGTGAACTGGAAATCTTTCATATTGGCTACTGAAACTTAATGGCATTTCTGACCTGCGGCAGCTTTGGAGTTAAAATAGCGTAATTAAATAAACTGAATAAAGGAAAATGATAAATGAAAAACAGCAATCAGTAAAACCATCAAAGACGGTAAATTCAAAGACATTCGAGATAAGAAACTTAACAGCTATTTCATGAAATATGCTCCTGTTCTTTGAAATATTTGGATGATTTAGTGCAACAACTAAAGCAACGCTGCTTAAAAATGCTGATCTTTCAAATATTATGTCTTGAAGTTGTTCATGTGAAGGTGGAGAACAGATCTCAAGACCCCCATGGAGGTGACATCGAGAATCCAGCTGACAGCAGCCAAGTGTTTGAACAGATATGTGGCTTGATTTGTCTATTTGAAGGAAATCAGTTCATTTATGGTTTGTCTTTAATTTCTGTTTACCTGGGATTGAAGTAAGGCATTGAAATGCCGAAATGCTATTATTTTTGTTCATCTCAAATGAAAAATAACAGAATAAGGTTCATTAGCACTTAAAAGATATAAATACTATGGTATCACCTATGATGTTAAAATTGATTTTTTACATCTTAAGAAAGAGGCTGAAAGGCCACATTTCAAGAAATATAATGCAAGGGTTTTATATATCTAGATGGCCAATATGAGCTGAGATTATTTTTGGCACATTCTAGTTTAAGTGAACCTCCAAAATCCATTCAATTTTGTACGCCATTGCTAATCATTTATATGACCTTTTCCTATGGTGTACTCTGGAGCATTTGCAGAAAGCTGCACATCATGCCTTAAAAAATCATTGAGTGATAACACGGAGGAGCAATCAACACCATTTAAAAGAATTTGTTATAATTATACTTTTCTTTCTTTCTTCTTTTTTATTTTTTGTTAATTCAAAGTTGTTTTCGCTGCAGTACCAAAACTCAAGCCCCTCCGAGAACAAAAATTGATGCATCACCAAGCACTTGATCTTGTCAAAAGCTTGTGTGAGATTATTAAATCCCTAAATGACGCAACAGCTTGCACATCTCTTTATGAGGAACCAATTCTTGTGGCCGCAAAATTAGGTATTCATGAGGTTGTAGAAACGATTGTGGACACATTTCCAGATGCACTTTATTCCAGGGATGAAGATAATCACTACACGTTTGAAGTGGCAGTCATAAACCGCTGTGAAAATGTTTTCAACCTCATTTATCAGATGACTGAGTATAAGCAATATGCAACACTGCTTACAGATGATTCTGGGAACAATATCTTGCATTTAGCTGGAAGATTGGCACCTATACACAAACTCAATCTTGTTTCTGGTGCGGCTCTGCAGATGCAACGTGAATTACAATGGTTTAAGGTAATGAATTCTTTTGATTCTAAATATTATTAATGTTGATTTCCTTTTCTGCATAACATGTTAAGAGACAAGTTGAATAAAATTCGTAATCTCAGAGGCATGGCTATGATCAGGAAGTGGAAAAATTTGTGAACCCAACCTATAAAGAGAAGCAAAACTCTTCCAAACAAACCCCTGCAGTGGTATTTACTGAGGCTCACAGGAATCTGGTATATGAGGGACAGAAGTGGATGAAAGACACAGCAGGTTCATGCATGATCGCTGCGGCACTTATTGCCACCGTCGTATTTGCAGCAGCCATAACTGTTCCAGGGGGCAACAATAATGAGAGTGGCCTCCCGATTTTTTCCAAAGACCACGCTTTTATAATCTTTGCAATTTCAGATGCAATCTCCTTATTTACATCCACAACATCTGTGCTAATGTTGCTGTCCATCCTCACTTCACGTTATGCAGAGGAAGATTTTTACCATGTTCTGCCCAGAAGATTAATAGTTGGTCTTGTTACCCTGTTCCTATCCATTACTACCATGGTGATAGCTTTCAGTGCTGTGCTCTATCTCGTGTTTGGTCAGAAGAAGGCATGGATCCTTATTCCAATGGCTGCATTAGCCTGTCTACCAGTTACTTCATTTGTGTCTTTACAATTCCCCCTCCTAGTGGATGTAATCTCCTCGACATATGGACCTGGGATTTTTGGTAAGCAGAGTGAGCGCCCCTTCTATTAAGCCAGCATTTCAGAAGTGTTTGAGCTTAAAAAATCAGGTATGTGCATCAAAGCCTATGAGTGAATGGAGTAGCCATTTCCGATATTGAATTAATTTGCCACAAGCAATGACTTGGCTCCTGGGGCTTAAAGGTTCAATCTGCATTTAAGAAATGTCATTTGTGTGCTTTATTTGTACTTACATATGGCCCTATTTTTCCTGCAGGTTGTTGGGACGGTTTGCATACAGAAACCCACCATCGCTTGCTTACCTATAGCTTATCTTACATGTATAGATGTTGTGTGTGCTCTGGGCACAGCAAGAATGAAAAGAGCCTCTATGAGCATGATTCCCTGAAAGAAAAACCGACTTCCAATGGGCAAATGTATAGTTGAGTGAGCCTGATGCCCTGAAAGAATAACCGACATCCAGTGAGCAACATCTAAGCTGCCAGGGCACAGAGGGGGTCCTCTAGCCGTCCCTAAGTGCAAAATTCTCAAAATTCAAGTATTCAGACAATCGTGTGCCTCTTTTGTAGGGATTCAACTCTGTTCCTCTTGGACTGCTTGTATTACATGTAATTTCTATTCTATTTCGATATAGGAACTTAAACACTTGAATAGGACCTTTTGTTTTCTGCTTTCTTTTGGACGGCCCCCCACCTCCCCGCCCCCCCGGGTTCCAGTTTCGGTTGCCTGCCTGTGTGCTTGTATTCCATGGCAGAAAGAAAAATAAATATGATAGTATAGTACACGTCGCTCCTATCGGCACACAATCTTACTCTTATGGAGAGACTGTTTCCATGACTAGCACCCATTGTGTCCAGGTGGCAATGTAGTCATGCTATCACTGCATCAAGCTTGATCAGCACTTTGAGTGGCAATTTATTTATCAAGCTTCCGTTTTCTCATGATGCTAAACAACTAGGTCAGCAAGCCAAGCTGATATCAGCTCAATAGTCAATTTGAATGCTTGGACTATATTTCCATTTCTCCATATTTCCCTTATGCAGAGAGAACAATATATGTAGATCCTCAGGCATTGGCTTACTGGACAACAAACCAGGAAAGAAGTAGAATTGGCCATTTAGTTACTTGCTTGCGTGCGCAAGCCATTTAAAAGCTCTTGCTATGCTCTTATCAAGTGGCAAAGGCAATTGTGTCTTCAATAAATTTTCACCCAATTTCTCTCCAAGATGGATCACTTACTATGAATTCAAGTGTCGAGTGGAACTCAGAATATATAGTGCGTCTTCCACCAAAATACTGGGGGTAATCTAACACCAAATGAAATTAAAGAAAAAAAAAAAGAATATTAGAAGATATCCAAATCCCAAAAAGGTTCTCGTGCCATGTTTCAATTTTTGTTAATGTGATTCACTGGTCACTTCAAGGCAGAGTGATACTTTGCTGCTTCAAAATTCAGGTGATGTGGAAAAAGTAAATTCCAGATTGAAAATATAGCATAACTGGTGATTGAGTTTTATTTTCAAATAGTGAGGGATTTAGCTTTAGCTTTTAGTTCAGCACCAAAAACATAGTTTGATAATGAGTCAATGAATCAGTATTTATACTGTCATTGTGAATGCAGGTTTCTTAAACCACACCAACATGTACAAATTAATTGCTATGACAAATGAGTTCTAATAGTATCTTCAGCAGAAGCAACATAAAAACATTCCATTTGAAGAGGGTGTCAATTTAACCCCATTTAACACTTCTGCTATACAGCAGAAGTGTTGTTGCTCAAAACGTCTTCATTCTATTTAATAAAATGATGTATTTTTGGTGTGAAAAAGTATCGTTTTGAAGAATAACATCTCTGCTGTTAAAAAAAAAAAAAAACAGCAGAAGATCTGAATCCTTCTTTCTCAAACTATGAGACTGGTATAAAGGCGTGTAGTGGATTTAATTTTCACTACCTCCTCTTAATTTGCGATTAACCAATGCCATTCATTACCCTATACAATGGTACTGACCAATTACTTCTGATGTCATTCTGAATCATACAAAATCATTTGAGTAACAGAAGCTCATGCGGCAAAGTTTGGTTTCTCGATAAAGTTGTTTCTATTAGTAGAGGATGAGCTTTGATGCAGTTGTAATATTGTTCTATTATAAATCTTACTCTCGCATGCGGGAGTAAGATTGTATACATTTTACCATATTTAGACCTAGTGATAATAAGAATTTTGTGCACCAAGCTACCTTTTTATTTGTTGATTGAAAAGGGTGCCGGTCATAGTGTTATTACATCTCTTAGTTTAAGGTTTTCTCAAGAACATATTTGAGGAGATTTCATTTCCCATATACTTTTACTTTTGGTGGTGAAAATTTGTCCATCATCTCATCATAAATGCTTTATGCCATCCTACAAGTATTTTTATACTCCAAGACCATCCTCTTTTTGGGGTTTTTGTAATTTTATATAAACCCACATTATTACCATGGACTAAAGTTCACTCTTTCACCAAAGAAAGGATTTGTAAGATATTCAATCATCTTTAAAATCTAAAATATAAAGTAAGATAGATTTCAATAAATTTATCCGATGATCTTAAATTGTCACTAACATCCCTCTTAAAACTATTCAAATTGCACTATATATTCAGGTACGGGTTACCCCGAGTATATTTTGATAACATAAAAATATATCAAAAGTGATTTATTTCCACAAGACTTCATTTTTTACTGTGTCTTCTTTAATAAAGCCTTAATTTTTTATTCTGTCTTCTTTAATAAAGCCGCACAATCGCAATTGTAAAAGGAAAGAAGACTAAGAAAATGTGATTTAAAAATATTTTAGTGCATTGAAAGTGATTCTTCGTGTTCCACGCTAAAAATAATGTATGACAAGTCCTAGGATTCGACTGCAATACTGAAGGAGTTATCGCACCAAAGATTATAACTCTAAAACTTAGTTACAATTTTTAGGTAGGACTTTAACTACCGAAAGAGGTAGAATACTGAATGTTATAATTTTTATTATATAAGCGTGCTTTCCACTTAAATAGAGAAACAGTTCAGTCTTGCAGAGGTGCACTAGCATTATTAGCATATTGCTCCAACAAAGATGGCAATGACTTCGCCGTCGTCACAATGGTCTGGAAGTTCCAGTAGTATCATTTCTCAACCAGGTTTGCCGATGCCAATCATCCTTTAATCCACGTTAATGTGTTTCACAAATGTTTTCTTCTGTGTTTGGTCGCTTCTTGCTCGATTTGTTGTACTTTCGTCCTTTTTTCAACATTTATACTTGTGTTTGTTTCACCATTTGAGCATCTAAAGTTGTAACTTCTCTCTGTTCAATGAAAGTTTAAACCGATGAAGAACGCCTCTGGCGGTACCTGCCGCTGTACAAATTAACACTTGATGGTAATTGGAAGGTGGCCAAACCATTTTTCCTCGGTGATCCTGATGCAATCAGGGCCAAGATTACTGCAGCAGGGGACACAGCACTCCACGTAGCAGCTGGGACTGGCAAGGCAATTCACTTTCTGGAGGAGCTCTTGAAGTTGGGCAATGTTTCAGATTTGCGTTTGCTCAACGGAAATGGCGACACTGCGCTTTCAGTTGCTGCAATGGTTGGGAATACTCCGGCGGCAAAGTTGTTCATGAAGAGGGATCCGCAATGGGCATTAATAGTTAACAAAGACGGTCGCCTTCCGATCACCGAGGCTGCCCGATTCGGCCACAAGAAGATGATTTTACTTCTACTGCGGTTCATCGAGGATGGGATGACGGAATCTTCTGGAGACAAGCCCGTTTACTCCCTTCTTAATCTACTGATTATAGCCGGATTCTATGGTGAGCAAAACTTTACCCACTTCCTTGTAGCTGCTAGTACTGTTAAATGTTTTGGGCAGCTCGAGTTCATAGGGGCGTGTCTCAATTTAAGTTCATTCAGAATCGTTGAAACTGCAAAATAAATCAAAGTTAACAAGAATTCTAAGTTTGTTTTGTACATGAATTTGCATGGTGACTCTGCAGGAAAAGGTTCAAATAAGTTTTTGGCCATAAACAATTTTAATTTTACAGCCAAACAATGCTTATTTGAAAGATGAGCAACCACAATCTTATAAAAAATAACCACATGTGAGACAGACATCTCTATATATATACTATATGGAGATTTTGGATATTGTTGAAAACAAATTGAACATTTTAGGCTTCATAATTAAGTTTATGGTTTAATTATTAGAGATTTTTGCTGTAATTGAGTTCAGTTCCAGCTCAAGGTCAGCTCAAATGTTCACGAACTTCTATTTTGTTGAGATTGAATAAGAATTTGACCTCAACCTGCCACAACTGTGTGTGTTTGAGCATATACAAACTTGATAAATTTGGTTCGATTGACACTCTAGGAGCTATTATATCAAATTTGTCATAATGAGTCAACCATCAATCCTTGAGGAAGTGACAAACTGAATATTTGAAATTCAACTTGGAGATGAGTTTAACTCCTAATTTCAGCTTGATTTTGATCTCTGTGCCTGATTTGATAACTATGTTATTTTATTTTTCCTTTGTTAAAAGCCAAAAATGATGAACTTGTATTGATACAAGCCACTATAGATGTTTTCATTAGACAGATGTGGATCTCGTCTTATCAGAACATTACAGAGAGCTGGTTACAACAGGATTTGTCGATGGAGAATCCCTTTTAAACTTAATCGCTCAAAGGCCTTCTGCATTTCCAAGCGGAAGTCGACTTAGCCTTCGGCAGCGCTTAATTTATGCTGGTTCTTTTTCTCTGCACTGTCACTTGGTCCCACTTTTCTTCTATTAATGTTTACTTCAATAAAATGCTCTTGTGATGGGACATTTCTGGAAGAAGACAGATCGGCAACACGTGTCCTCGGCATCGTTATGTTTCCAGCCAAGTATGGTCACGTATCCTCGGCAACACTCATCCACATCCACTGAGGGGATAGTGCTCCGAGCCGAGGGATCCCCCATTGGTGTGATCAACACATATGTCCTCGGCTCGGTAAAAGCCCTTGACCCCGAGATAGACAAATATTCCTCGGTGCCAAGGTGTTCTTTTTGTACGCTAGATCCCACCTCTCCCCCACTTCTGCAAAAACTAATGATTGACATATAGCTAGCCTAGGCCAAGCTAGGCTAATTATTATGAAAACGCTCTACTCGACGGTGTCAAGAGGCACAGGAATGCAGAACATGCAACCAAAAAGGGGTGGACCCGTGAAATTTGATATCAAATCAATAGCAAAAAGACTTGGTACCCCTACTGACACATGACTAGAGCAAGTATGCATTTAATGAATACTCCTCCTGATGAGACAACAATTAAGGCATGGGGGCCAAGAAGTGAAGTGCATTAAAGACCTCCATACCTGGGCATTTAATGCATCCTCGCCGAGAAGGGGGAATTGAATGCTCGACAGATCGAGGAGTTAGTTTTAAATGCTCGGCATCCCGATCAGTTACAACAAAGCCCATTCCCCATAAAAGTGAGAGGCACACTGCCCCATCCCTGACAAATACCTGCTGGATGGACTATCAGCAATCATAAGCTTTTGAAGGTATAAATAATTCTCAAAAAACGCATTGCAAAGGGAGACAAGAATTTCTAAAAAGAACCACAGTGTTTTCTTCTTCCCCTATCTCAAAAAACTGACTTGATCGTCGGAGGGGATACGCTGGAAAGCACTCCGACACCCTTTTAACCTATTTTTTTGTGTCATAAGATCTCCCCACAGTCTTCCAGGACCGGTCAAGCGACCCAACAAATAATTTATCACCAGTCCTTAGGGCCCCTTTGTCCTTCTCAACCTACTCCTTATTGCCAAAATCCACTTTCGAATGGGTCAAATCTCCGCCAGAGGCGATCAGAAATCCTAAGAGCAAACCTTTTGTTCTGTCGAAATTACGATCTTGTCGAACCACAGTTTATCGTGGGAGAGATCTGTTTCTATTTTTACTGTTGTGCAAAAATTAGCAAGCACAATCTGGCGTCGTCTGTGACCATGATGAATACTCGATAGAAAGGAAAGGGTCCCCAGTAGAAGAACCTCGATTTACAAGCTCCTTCTAGTTTCGAAACGAAGGATCAAGTTGATGGTGTCGACAGGAATATCTCCATTCAATCAAGGGGGCATACCCGCCAAACCAGTATAGGCATCAGATCAAGAGGATCTGCCCCATTGGCCTGTCAACTGGCAAAAATGATCGAGTAAAAGTTTGGTGGTCGATTACGGCAGTTAGAAGAGGACAACGTGAACGTCCTCAGCCGTCTCAATGAATTTGCGACTTTCGGCGAAGGATCCAAGGACTTGTTCCATTCCCGGGAATCCTCCATCAAGGAAGTGGAAACAGAAGATTTGCGGAATCATCTGAACAATAAAGCAGAAAGTTCCAAGGCTCCGAAGCGTCCGAGAGCCAAAAAACATCCCCCAGGTGTCCAGGCCAAGAAGGCAAGACCTTTGGCTTGGGATGACCTCCGTTGGGGATTGTCCGAGCGAGGGGGCATGGAGGAATCCGAGGGGTCAACCCTCTCCACTCGGCACACAGGAAGGAGGCACCCCGTTGACCCACACAGGGACCTTGAAGGGGTTTTCCTCGAGTTGGGAGCCGACCTCAGAGCTTAGTTGGATGCTAGGAGGAGTAAGGCCATTTAGGAAGATGACACCGATGACAAAACCATACAATCCCCCTTTACCAGGGACATTCAGGAGATGGAGGTGCCAAAAAAGTTTATAGTTCTAAGGTTCAAAACTTATGACAGACGATCCAATCTCGAAGCTCACCTAAGACAGTACAAACAGATGATGTCCCTTTACGATTCAGACCAACAGCTTCTATGCCGGGTGTTCTCCATGAGTTTGAGAGACTCCACTATGAAATGGTTTGAAACTCTCCCTCCCAACGACATCGGGTCATGGAAGGAGTTAACCAGGCAGTTCTCCGCTCGGTTTGTTACAAGAAGTAAGCGACCTAAGGATGTTGGGTCCTTACTAACACTCAGAAGAAAGGGAGGAAAAACTCTCCGCCAATATGCCACGCATTATTGGGAGGAGGTCAATGAGGTGGAGGGATGCTCAAAAGTCATGGCAACCGCCTCTTTCAAGCTTGGCCTGACAAGAGATACAGATCTGTACCGGTCATTAACCAAGAAGACCCCATCAGACATGGGTGAATTGATGGTCTAGATAAATAAGTATTTTCGGATCAAGGATGAAATGGGAGGGGGCAAAGGTAGGGCCCCCATCCCCATGAAGAAAAACAGAGAGAAAGAGGACACTTCCAGGAAGGGATTGATACCTCCCTCCGTAAGCTCTTTTAAAGGAGTCCACATCGTGTTTAAGGAACCTATTTACAGGCTGCTCCAAAAGATCCGGGGTGAGCCATTCTTCAAATAGCCACCTAAAATGCAGAGTGATCCGTCCACCCAAAATCAGAATGTCAGGTGTTGCTATCATTGAGATGTCGGGCATCGTACCGAAGATTATAGGGTGTACAAATATTTCCTGGAAAAGTTGGTCCAAGACAGGCACATCAAGGAATACATTGATCCAAAGAGGTTCGGGCCCCCAATAACCCGGTTGTTATCTAGGACAACGTAATTGACGTGATTCACGTATGTCTACTAGAGCGTCTGACATCCAGGAACCTTAAGTCCGATCTCAAAAGAGTGGCCTTCACAAGGAAGGTAGCTAAAGAAGAAGGGGGCCAGCCCAACAAGAGGGCTCGGATTGGCAAGCCCAATATTGCATTCTCTGACGTGGATCTTGCAGGCATAGTTATCCCTCATAACGACGACCTGATATTAACACTGAAAATCGACAACTTCGATGTTAAGAAAATACTAGTAGACTCCGGGAATTCTTCTAAAGTGATGTACTCCGAAACCTTGAAATGAATGAGACTTGGTTCTAAAGACCTCACCAAAGTCAAGACTCCCCTCATTGAATTTAACGGTTCATTTGCCCTATTGATGGGTAAAATTACGTTGTCGGTCATCACTGGGCCCGTCACTATCAACACAGAGTTTGTTGTGATCGACACAGACTCGCCTTACAACATTATCATGGGCGCGAGCCTGGTTACACGCACTGGGGGTAGTGCATTCCACTTATCACCAGAAGTTGAAGTTTTCAACCCCAGATGGGGTAAGGGAGATCCAAGGGGACCAAGTGTTCGCTAAGAACTATTTCTGTTCGGTTGTAAGAGCAGGGGTTTCCATCCAGGAGAAGGGGTGGGCCCCGAAGGAAATCCTGGATAAATAACAATCACAGTCCGAGCGTCCTGGAGTGGACGACCCCCGGATGGGTCCGACAGAACGATTGGTGGAAGACCTTCGAAAAGTACCCCTAATGGACGGGGAAGAGGAAAGATACTTCTTGATTGGTTAAGCTATGCCTTCAGCCGAACAAGCTAAGATGATAGATTTTCTGAAAAAAAATGCAGATGTATTCGCCTGGACTGTGATAGAAATGAAAGAGGTGGACCCCGAAGTGATAACTCATAAGTTTCATGTTGATCCGACACACAAGCCAGTTAAGCAGAAGCCACGGCGCATGGCACCGCATCACGCCCAAACGGTGAACAAGGAAGTTGATAAACTCTTGGAGGCCAACACCATCTGGGAGGTCCAATTCCCATAATGGTTGTCAAATACGGTCTGCGCAAAGAAAAAATAGAAAAAATGGCGTATCTACGTGAACTTCACTGATCTGAATAAGGCCTGCCCTAAAGATGACTTCCCACTCCCAAAGGTAGATCAGCTAGTGGACGTCACTGTAGGGCACCAGCGTATGACCTTCCTGGACGCCAGGGCAGGCTACCATCAAATCCTTCTCCATCCACCCGATCAAGAAAAGACGGCCTTCGTCACTCCAAGGGGGGTTTATTGCTACAAAGTCATGTCGTTCGGCCTGAAAAATGCTAGAGCTACCTACCAAAGACT